TCTTTCTTTCTTTCTTTCTTTCTTTCTTTCTTTCTTTCTTTCTTTCTTTCTTTCTTTCTTTCTTTCTTTCTTTCTTTCTTTCTTTCTTTCTTTCTTTCTTTCTTTCACTTATTAGCTATCCACACTACCCAAAGGTCTCTGGCCAGCTTACAACAATTAAAATACAATAAAAAAGAACCCACAGTTGCTATTATTTCAATGAAAAGCCTTCTGGAACAGGAAGGTTTTGACCTAGTGCCGGAATGTCATCAGTGTCGGCACCAGACGAATCTCAGTCGGGAGGGCATTCCATAGTCTGGGGGCAGCTGCAGAAAAGGCCCTTTTGTCTACACGCCATCCCTCTTACCTCCTTGCGGGACGGTTCTTTCAAAAGGTCCCCCTGGCTAGATCTTAACTGCCAGGTAGGTTCATATGGAAAGAGGTGGTCCTTCATGTATCTGGGGCCCAAGCCATTTAGGGTTGTGAGCCAGTTGTGAACAGCCAAGAGCCACCCACAGATCATCTCAAGGATGCCAGCCAACTAACCAGACCTTGCTGATGGAGGCAAGCATTAGGGAACTGCAGATGGGAGGAGTGAAATTTTAGGATTTTATCAATGGGGGATGAAGGAACCAAATAAGGACACTGAAACAGGAGGGAAGAGCCAGGGAAGACCACAATGGGCCACTGAAATCTCCATGCCAAATAGGAAACATTTGTGGCAGGTGCTGGAGAGGAGAGCCCATGGCCTACTTGGATGGACCATGTTGATCCAGGAATGGCTACTATTGTTGTCGAGTGAGGGGGAAGCCACACACAGCAGCTGCGTAGGCAGCCATGCCTCTTCACTCTGGCACTCCCAATATTCTCCTCTCCGCCCCCAGGGAGGAGGGAAAGAGAATAATTTGGGGCACATTGGGAGAAAAGAAATGACTTTTGAACGGCTGCAGGAGTAGAATGGAAAGCAATCGTTCTTACGCAGAAGACTAGCTGTGAATCACTCCCTGGTCCTTCCTTAAAATACACCCCAGATCCAGAACAGAAATAACTACCAAATCTGCTTTATAACTCTAGCAAAACGATGACATTGATTCTTGTGTTTTGAAAATGACGATGTGCTTGTACGTTTCCACAGAGGATCTCAAAAGTACAGCATAAAAAACCCCAAACAAACAGCTTATTTACAACAGAGACAAGGCGCATCTCTCAGCCCCTGCATTACCACCACACCATCTGCTACTGCTCATCATTCTACAAGACCCTGATTTACCTATCTGTTTTCTTTCTTTCTTTCTTTCTTTCTTTCTTTCTTTCTTTCCTTCCTTTCTTCCCTCCTTTCCTCTATCTATCTATCCACCTAATCCCCTTCCTTCCTTTCTTCCCTCCTTCCCTCCATCTATCTATCCACCTAATCTATCCATCTATGACGGCAGGACAAGGAGTATAAAACTGAAATCAAATAAGGGTTGATGTGGAAAAGCCTCCCTGAAAAGCAACATTTTAAGTTGTCCTTCTAAACGCTAGCAAGGACGGGGCCAGGAGCAGCTCTGCCAGGAGCTGGCTCCACAACATTGGAGCCACCATGAAAAAGGCTCAATATCTCATGGAGGACTTCTGGGTCTCCCTCTCGGGGGGGGGGGGCAGGGGGGCATCCAGAGGAGATTGGCCTGGGAAGCTCTGGTGGGTTGGGCAGATGACCCTGGGGGGAGACATTTCAACAGCTCCCATGGCATTTCTTCTCCATTAAAGGGCTTATTTTGGAAAAGTGCTAGGAACAAGGTCAAAGTCCATCAACTGCTGAACAACCAACAGGTCTTGATAATGCCCTGTACATAAAGCTTTATTCTTACAGTATTTAAAACACTAAAACCCGTGTGTGCGCCGTACTCGAAACTTAAAGAATAGCATGCTTACTCCAACAGCGGAGGTGCCCAGACTGAATTTACAGGAGTGGCATGTTCTCAGAACGGGGGAGCAGGGAGGGGGAGAGAAGGTCTGATTGGTCTGCTTTCATCCCACAGGCTAGTTGCTCCTTATACGGAGCAGTCATGCTGTGAAAGAAAACAAGATGACTGAGCCCAGACAATCCTGGAGGCTGCCAGAAGGCAGCAGAGCTTCAATGGCAATCCAGGAGCGCAAGCCAGTAGAAATCCTAATTTCCAATTTCATGAAATCTCGCACAGAGTAAATAGCCTCTCGCTGGATTGTGCCCCCATTTTAATTAGATGTCTTTGCATTTTGTGGGCATCATAATTTCTGGGGTCTGATTTCCTCCCTGACTCACACCGGTTAATGAGAGCCTGGAGGAAATGTGTTTTTCTTTTATTTCTTTATTGCACTCTAATCGACTTCAGCATAACTTCTGAGGTGTGCTCCCTATGTTGCCCTGTGCAAATATTCCACAGTCACGCTCAGAGAAAGCCGGTCTTACCGTTTGGATCTCTGAACCATTTCGCTCTTGGAAATTGCTCTTTTCCGCCGTATAGTCCGGTAGCCTAAGCGAGGGAGAGAGAGAGAGAGAGGAAACAATGAGTACCTCGACAGCCAAAGCCCTAAATCCTCCCAACAATAACCAAGGGACCCGTCCCATATATCACAGTAACAAGGCGGTTACTCCTCGAATCTGCTGGTGCTGGGAGGGAGGGCTTGATAAAACTGCACCACTGGCACCTTGGGCTACCTGTTCTTCCTCGAAAAGGAGGGGTGATCATCATCATCTGGGAACTGCCCAGCTGGGAGGGACCCTCTGGATCATTGTGTCCAGCCGCTGCCAGGGGAGGCATAGCAGGGCATCAAACTCCCAACCTCCGGCTCTGCAACCAGAGACCTAAACCCCTGAGCTATGTGGCAGTTCCACTCAAGAGAGTGAAGCAGGATGAGCTCCCCTCTCCTCTGGACCCTTTTTTGGGCAGTAGGACCCAAAGAAACCCACACCCTGCTCAGCAGGCCAGAACGGAAAAAGCAAGGGAAGGAATAAAGCCAAAAAAAAGGAGGGGGGCTTTTTAAAAGCAGAAGCCACTTTCACTACACAGCACCAGCTGGCAAGGCAAAGATAACCAGAGACAGCTGCTTGGTTCCACAAGAATCTTTGAATGAAAGGGGGATTTAAAGGTTTAGGAGACCTCGCTAATCCTAACTGCCACCTTGTGGCCTGTATTATTATTGCCAGAGCGCTTAAACGACGAGACAGCACCTCGTTCAAGGGTGCTTGAACAGCCCAGGTTAAGAGCTAAACAGAGGGCATCTTCACTCACTCCCTGAGCCCTTACAGGAGGTCATGCTACGGCTCCCAGCTAGGCTCGCTCCTGGTCCCACTTTGCATACGGACATCATGATGGAGACAGCACAAACCCAGTACAGTATGTTCCAGTCGGGGGTGTTGGTGGTGGTGATGGGAGAGACACAGAAACTGTGGACATTAATGGGCTTTGAGTTTGGGCACACTTTGCCTTCTAACTCCTTCTTTTCTGCCTTTGCTTCTACACAGCCGTCAGTCCCTCTTTAAGCGATGGCCGGAGGACAAGGCATTCTACAACAGAGCTGAGGGTGGGTCTCGGGGAGCCCAGCCAAACCCTCCCCTTGAGCAGGGAGAGGTACAAAAAGCATCCGAGAGGAGCCCAATAAAAATATAATTTTAAAAAAGAGGTAAGTTGGGGAGGCAGCAGTCCACTGCCAAAGGCACTTCCTTGACTGAATTTTCCCATGGATGCAGTATAAAAACAGTGTAGGCTTTAGCTCTGGTGCTTTTCCAGGCATCCAAATTACTGATGGCGTGTGTTACTGTTTAATATATTTTTCCCCATAAATAAAAAGGGTGTCAACCTCTGGTGTGCAGGGTAACAGCAACTACTCTCAGTGGGAGACATGTCAGGCTCTCACTTCTCTACACCTTAGCCAAGGAAATCCGGTTACTGTCACACGGCAGAGGATTCTGGGCTACATCTTGCCAAGCAGCCTTCATTCACACGCAGCATGTTCAGCTACCATGTTGGGGGCAAGCTGCTGGTAATCCACTGGTCTTATCGCCAGTGAGCTCCCTCAAAACGGGTTTAAATAAATAAATAAAGCTACTCTAATGCAAGACTGGGGGCCCATAACACATTGCCTCCAGTTAGGTAAAATTAAAATGTTTTGAGCAGGTGGTCCAAGAACCCCCTGGGTTTTTTTGTTCTGATCTTTTCCTGGGCAACTAGCATTCCCGCCGGCATATGGCCTCGGGCAAGCTGCAAAGCCCCAGGATGCCCCCCAGAAAGAGAGGATGATAAAACGCTTCTCTCTACCAAGAAAACAGGGTCTCCATAGGTCAGAACTGACTTGACATCACATTATTGTTTTTATACTACTACGATCGCCTTGTTTAAGAAGAACCTATCCGTAGGAGAAATGTCCATGATCAGCCCCAGTGCAGAAGGCTGGCCGTGGAAGGGCTCAGTCCTGAGCGGAGGCTACTGTAAGGCTGCTAGCTTGCTCTGAAATAAGACAGCTCCCCTTGTCTACGACGCACCTGCATTGTTTTGAATGCAAACTGGACCCCACACCATGTCCTACAGACAGGAGGTCCAACAGGTATCTGTTAGACAGTAATAAGGAACTACATCATGGCCATGTTCCAAACAAGTGGAATATAAATGCGCTGCCAGGCTCCTGGCATGAGGTTCCTTCTAAGGCAGCTTCCACTTCTTTGGAGCCTGGCCCATGTCTTACAACAACAAGAAGGAGTGAGGCACCTCTGCTTGGAGAAAGATCGCTCCCCTTCCTGTCCTTTCTCCTCCCTTCCAGAGGGTTAAATAATTCTTCTCTTTCGCCCTGGAGCAAGCGCTGTAGTTTCCTCTCTTCTATGATGAGCTTGAGGCGTTTCACACGTTCCCCAGAGTTGGAAATGAAATCCGGGCGGTGTAATGCAAGAGCTTCCTACATTGGGCAGGAGAAAGAAGAAAGGGGGAAAACCGCAGAGGGAAAAAACAATTTGCTTCAGAACTCTGCTTGAACAGCTTGGGGGGAGATGACAAAAATAGCTAACCCCATTAACAAAAACACCAAAAAACATGCCTCAGAAGAATAGAATTAATCTTGCTGTGAACTGAGTGTTGCATCTTGAAAGCTGAAGAGATCTCTCTATGGGTCTTGTTAACAAATGCTTTGATGCTGGACAACCAGACGGAAATTATACCAGTCTGGGAATAAGCATAGCTCTGTGTTTGTAAAAGAGATAAGTACTTCAGCTTAAACAAGCAGGGTGGAGAGCAAGCTTCACACACTTGGAGAGGGGGGGAACCCGCCTCCGAACAAGGGAGGAAGCCTTTTTTTAAAAAACTGCAAATGAAACGGGCACACCGGGAAATCAACAGGGTTCAAAACCGGCTGAGAAGGAAGCTCTCTGGAGCTTGCCGTTGGCAAGATCTGTCAGGTCGTGGGGAGTCAGGGTGGGGGTGCAAGAATGAAGATGCTTCCCCAAACTTACTCCTCCCCCCCCTTGCCTGATTTCAGCACACTCCCCCCCCCCACAAGCTCTCAACCAATTTCTCATGATGGGATGGGATCGGGAACAGAAGCAGCAGAGATGTCCCTCTCTTATATCAAGCAGCAAGACCATGATCCACAGTATGGGAAAATGTACCCTCGCCAGGGTCGGGGGGGGGGGCTGGCTCTGACCTCTGATGCACTGCCCTTCTGCTTTGCACACCCAGTGCCTCGTATAAACACACACGGTACCGCCAGCGGCTAATGCACTGCTCTGCTGCTTTGCACACCCAGTGCCTCGTACAAACACACATGGTACCGCCAGCGAGAGAGGGAATGCCCCATTCCTGCAGGGACACCGTACGCTTAGGCTTGGCACAAAGATTCTGGGGTCTCCTCCTCAATGCTGAGTGTTAACGGAGGAGACCTGATAGTGTTGGGACACTGTCAGCCCACCCACCCATTTTCTTTCTGGTCCTTTCTACGGTTGTGCTAGCTATTAATGTAAATACAAAAATGCAAGCCCAAGGAGATTCTCCTGTACTCGCCCTGTTCCAACCTGGTGGCCTTCAGACGTGTACGACTACAATATTCATAAGCTGCTGGCTAGCCAGAAGAGATAACACACATAGGCACACAGACACAGAAACGATTTTTGTTCCATTAACCTGAAATGGCATTTGACATCCAGAAGCAGGAGAGCGAAAGCCAGGGGAGGAGCTCAAACGCAGGCCCTGGCATTTACCTGCAGCGTCATTTTCACGAAAGGCCGAGGCGGTTTGTTCTCTCCCTCTCTCCTTGGAGTCGCTAGACGCACCTGGAGGCCCTCGCAGCGATCCTCCTGCCAGTTCTTCTCTCGGAGGGGCTCCCGCCATGGTTTCGTGCTCAGCAGAGGTTCAAACCACGAGGACCCGGGTTCGGGAGGAGGGCTGGGTCCATCTCCTCCCCTAGGCTCAGCTTTTAAATCCTCTGCGGGGACAAACCAGGAAACTCCTGGGAAAACAGGGAGTGAAGGCAGAAAAATGTTTCTAAAATGAAGACAGCCTGGAACAACCATTACTCTGCTTATTTGCAGACACTGCCCATGTAAGGGTAGAGACACAGCTTTCTTTCGTCAGAATTCTCCTCTGCAACAGCAAAAGAACCGTGTCCGTGCTGAGAAGAGATGCACGCATGAACGGCAATTGCAAACACACATTTGTTTGCCTGCATAGAGGAGGATGGTTCCCAAATTCAGGGATTCAGGTGATCTAGCAACATGCCGATGGCGCAGAGGAAAGGAAGTGTGGGAAGACCACAGAAAGGCAGCCAATGTTTTAAAACCACTCAGTTAAGTCGCAAATGCCTCTTGGCTTTACAAAGATTGAGCGATTACTCCTAATAAGAGATCTAGCATGTCAGATAAGTGTTTGTTTATGATGCATTTCCCAAAATCCTAATGCAAAACACAGTACCTAAAAAAGGTGAAGCATACAAGGTGGTTTGCCTTTTTCTGCTCATCTGTCACATATTCAGGTGCATCTCCTCGGTATGTCCCAAAGCATGGCACAAACCAGGTACTCAGTTTCTAATTTGCTCTACACAATTGCAATAGGATTGTGATACATATTGCAATGTCTGCTGATTTTGTTTTGCTTTCAACTTCAGTGGGTAGTTTCTTTTTTCAAAGAAAAAGGCCAAACCTTGAATCATGTGCATGAGAGATGTTTGAATTAAAATACGGTGGGCTCCCCTTCTTAATGCTAAGACACTTCCTCCCCTTTTTTGCACTTATGACGAGACTTTGCTGTGATAAGTAATAATATTTTCAGACAAATAAATGAAGGAGTTTTGTGCTCTAAGTCTTTGAAATTTAGGACAGTTGTTAAAGGGAATTTATTTCCTCTGTGGTTTTTTACACACAAGGTGCATGCAAGCTCCTTGAAGAATTTCAAAAGGGGAAGAAAAGGGGAAGGGAAAATATTAAGGTGTTCTTATAAATAAAAAAACTGTTCCACGTTTTTGTGTTTTCTACACGGTTTATCACAGAACAGGCAAAACTGATTAGGACCATGGTGGATACATGCCTGTGGGAGATGCAGGATTCATAACTGTACAGATCTGGAAAGACCAATGAGAAAAAATTCCAGGAGCTTATCTGTTTTTTTTTTTTTTTAAAAAAACAGCAAAAGAAAGTTCTAAAAAAATTTAGAGAGCAGAGTTTTAGGAAAGGATTTTATGAAAGTTGATGTGTCTACATTAGAAAGGCCACACAAGTAGAACACACAACCATTGATTCCACAAACTCTTCCAGCACTTAGAAAGGCCACACAAGTAGAACACACAAGGCTTTCACGACCGGGATCTTATTTATTTATTTATCTATTTGATTTATGTCCCGCCCATCTGGTATATTCTACCATGACGTTTCGCCAGTCTCTGTGGCCGGCACAGTCCAGTCCTCTGAAGATGCTGGCCATAAATAAAGACTGGCAAAACGTCAGGAAGAACAACCTTCAGATCACGGCCACAGAGCCCGAAAAAACCACAACAACCATCTTCCAGCACTGCTACCCTAAGAAAATATACACTACGTCAGGAAGAACAACCTTCAGAACACAGCCAAAGAGTGCAAAAAATCCACAACAACCATCTTCCAGCACTGCAACCCTAAGAAAGTATACACGGAAGAGCTTCTGATGCTGCTGAATGAATCCACCCTCAAAAGCAACATGGTTCCCTAGAAAATTAGAGTCATCAGCCAAAAATCTACACTTACTCCTAGCAATCGTCTTTCTGGCCGAACAACCTTCAGAACACAGCCAAAGAGTGCAAAAAATCCACAACAACCATCTTCCAGCACTGCAACCCTAAGAAAGTATACACGGAAGAGCTTCTGATGCTGCTGAATGAATCCACCCTCAAAAGCAACATGGTTCCCTAGAAAATTAGAGTCATCAGCCAAAAATCTACACTTACTCCTAGCAATCGTCTTTCTGGCCTTTTAAGTGAAGACGTTGACAGAGATTTAAAAACATCAAAACAGGGCTGACAAACTAAACTGAATAAAAGCTCTTTCCGAAGCGAGGCCAAAGCTGTGGGACGAGCCCCTGCTCCAACAGTTGAGAGGCAGCCCAGATCTTCCCAAAGGAGACACCGGTCCCTTTGCCCCATAGCACTGGGAAGAAAGCTGGAAACAGGTTTGTTTGCTGAGCTTTTTTCTCTCTGGCCTTCTTTATTTTTGCACTTAAATTGTCTTAATTTATTATCTGCTATGCCACTGCCCAATTAATTGTTTTATTCTTCATTCAACATTTTAACATTTACTTTGATGAGCGCCCTCTCTCCATGTGATGATATAAACAAGTTTAAATAAACAGAATACATTATGCAACCTGTGTCATTTTGAACTCTTCTTCCTGTTTCTCAGTAGTTTAGACAGTAGGATAAGCAGTAGATAAGTTTAAAATAATGGCACTGGCAGGGGCAATATTCACATAGCCAGCAAGCCAAATACTGAAGATGAGGGTGAGGGGGGCCATGGTAAAACGAGAGACCAATCAAAGTTAGGTAAGCTTTGTTGGTACCTATCTTTATGCCTTACACCGCAACCCTAAGCAAGAAGAGTCTGCTCCGTTTTCAGTGGAATCAAAGACAAACTCACCAGATAGTCAAGAACAGGCTTACCAACAGCGACCAGGCAAGATAACATCTTACATGTGAAGTTACAACACACATGCAACACACCGATCGGCAGTTCTTTAGCCACATTTGCATTGTCCTGGGGGAGAGAAGCGTGCTTCTGGGGATTTTTCTACAAGGGGCCTACTTTTCCCACACTGTTCCTCAGCATCAGCACAAACACAAAATACAGTGGTGCCTCGCATAACGTTGTTCCTCAGCATCAGCACAAACACAAAATACTGAGCCATGTGCTATGCAAGCCCCCTCCCCAAGTACACAATGTGCAGCCCTTTTCAGAGACCTTGCAGCCCCTGCGGCTTGTTCCTTCTTGGCCGTTTTTCTGCAAGAAAACCATTTGGCTGCCGCGTCTGTTTGCCTTCTGAAACGGGTCCATCCAACCATCCGTAAACCTCATCTTCTGTTCCACTCTTGCGGCCTCCCTGTAGCCTTGCTTGGCTGGATGCCGGGGTAGGAAACGTCAGACCAACGTCTCGTGTGTGCCTCTTTGTCCCACTGTTCACGATCTCAAAATCTCCTGGTTGTAAAGAAAAGAAAAGGATTATATAAATAGAAGTTTGATGCAGCCAAAAAAAAAAAAAAATCTTGACTAAGATTCCTCTGAAAGGCCGTTCCAGGATATGGGAAAAGAGGTAGCTTCAAACCCTGACAAAAAAAAAAAAAAATCTTGACTAAGATTCCTCTGAAAGGCCTTTCCAGGATATGAGAAAAGAGGTAGCTTCAAACCCTGGGGAACACTTATCCAAAGAAAAGATTTAGGGAGCTGGAGATGACCAACTTGGATTGGGCAGTTGCATCACAGAAGCAACTTCCAGGTCACTCCAGTGAGTTGCTTACCACTGTAATACCAGAGTTCCATGCTAAGCCCACCACCTTCAAGAGTCTTGGATGATCAAGAAGAAGTAAGGCCACCTATATGACAGGGTAACAGAGAGCTGACTTGACACACTGATTAATGTGGATGCAGAGGAATAATGAATTGGGAGAAAGCCCACAAAAGTATATGAGTTACCAGGACCTCCTCAAAGCAGTGAATGTGCTCTGGAGCAGAGGAAAATGACGAGCTTCCTTTGCAGTCTTTTGCTATCTCTCTGCATCTATATTCAGCCTCTGTTATAGGTAAACTCTTACTTCTTCCCACAAAGTGCTCTTACCTCTTCTGCATCACCCAAGAAATCCAGAAGCATGGGGCTCCAAGAAGATCAACCTTCCAATTTTACAACATTCCCAAAGGAAAGTCTTTCCTGAGCTTCTAAATCTGCGTGCCTGAGTAACTTCTACAAGTTCTTGCAATAAAGTCATTTTGCTTTATTTTCCTTTTGCCCAGACAGCTTTCTAAAAATGGAGGAAATTATTAAATGGGAAGGGAAATGGGGAAACCAAGAGAGTGCACATCAAGATCTGAGCTCCATACATATTCTCTCCTGTTCTGAGGGGAAAAGCCTGCAGCTAGTCTAAATTGACAGGAGGTGGAGAATACTTTTGAACAACAAAAGGAAGACTTCAGGAGAACAGACCTGTTAATTTGAAGTAGTATGTCCACAGCTGGTGGACATACTGCATTTAACTCCATGGCACTTAAAAAAATTCTGGAATAGTCAGGTTCATATGTCATCACTCCCCACCGACCCCTGCCCAAATGTATTAAAACTGCCTCAGAAACAAGAGGGGAAAAGAAAAGAGGTTGGCTTCTTTTTCAAATTCTCCTTTTGATTTCTAAGTTTTCAAAAACAGAGGCTGACAAACTCTGACTAGCATGTGTAAACATCAACAATCTATTTTGTTATTGAAAGGGCAACGTTCAAAACTTGCTGAAAATAATGACGTACGGTAAAGACAAGATTGCTAATTTTGTAGAATAGGTAGCCATGTCAGTCTGTGTAGTATTATAGGTAAAAGCATCACAGAAAGAAGTTAAAAATGACAATGTGGTGGTACCTTAAAGACTAACTTTTATATTTTCTAATGTGTAAGGTTAGCTCACATTAAAAAAATTTAAAAGTTAGTCTTTAAGGTGCTACCACGTATTTCTTTTCCTACTTTTTATGGTATTTCTATGCTGCTCTTACCTATGACATTTGCTATTTTGTGTGCTTCAAACTGCTGAATATGAAGACCTTCAGCATTCTGACATCCTGGCCTTGACTATTTAACACCTTAATAAAACTCCACCATCGGCTCTTAAGATTTCCATAGAAATTCACAGCTATAAGGTAGATATTTACTTAAAACAACAACTGATACTCCAAGGATGCTAGATTCCATCTGAAATGTCAAATTCCATGCCTGCAGCATGCAATCACAAACATGAAAATTTGTAGCACTCTGCCTTAAGCATGTATTTGTCCGTCTACCTGTCCATCTTATTCATAGGCCACCTTTCTCCTGAGAAGGAGACTCAAAGCAGCTCACAATATTTAAAATAAAAATACTGTGTTTTTAACAGAACTGAAAACACAATAAATTATACATTAAAAAACAATTAAACAATTTGTTGTTGTTTAGCCGTTTAGTTGTGTCCGACTCTTCATGATGCCATGGACCAGAGCACACCAGGCCCTCCTGTCTTCCACGGCCTCCCGGAGTTGGGTCAAAGTCATGTTGGTCGCTTTGATGACACTGTCCAATAGACTGAATAATTAAAAACATGTAAAATGTGAAAAACTATCTTAATTATTTAAAAAACAGCATTCAGGGACTCACGTCATGATTGTTAAATGCCTACCTGAAAAGGTGGGTCTTCAGTTGTCAGCAGAAGGATAAAAGGGAGGGAACCAACCTGATCTCCCAAGGGAGAGAATTCCATAGCCTGGAAGCTACCACAGAGAAGACCCTGTCTCATGTCCTCATCAACCATGCCTATGCTGGCAATGGGATCAAGAAGAGGGCCTTTTCTGGTGATCTTAAACATTGAGAAGGTTCATACAGGGAGAAACGGTCCTTCAGGTAGCCTAGATTCAAGCCATATATGGCTTTATAGGTAATAATCACTTTGAATAAGGCCCAGAGACTGGTATCCATTGGAGTTGTTATAGCAGGGGTGTTATATGCTCCCTATAAGTAGTTAGTGCTCTCCTAGATTCCTTCCCCCAGTAGGTCTGGGTTTGTCACAACCTCTACCTCTGTTCCTCCTCCTACAATAGGGTCTTGTTCTGTAACAGACTGGCAATTGCGCCAGGCCACAGTTGGCAAGGCCATTAGGGAACCACATAACTTCCCTCTGGATATGTTTGGACTGGCTCCAGGATGTGCATCACAGGAAAAACAAGAGAGAGAGAGAAAAAAAGTCACTTCAAATATAAAGCAAGACTCCAAGGAGAATCAGCTTCAAACCAGCACTCCCCTGAAGCCATGCCAAAGTTTTTGGCTGCCCTTGCCAGTGAGAAATGTTATTTCCATGGAGCAAATCCTTTATCTCACCAAAATTTATTAGGAGACACCGTCTGAGAAACTCATAGTAAGAACAAAAGAACTGCCTGCTGATGTCGAAGAAGGAGCCGCTCCCTTTGAGTTCACCTTGCACGCCCTTTTGTGAATACATCTCAGCTGTGGAGATGTACAGACCAGAAAGCCATGTGTGCCAACCTGGCCGACTAGCAGCAAACTCTGGACTCAGAAGATTTCAATAAGACGGTAAGTGCGACAGCCACCTACGTGGCAGTAGATCCCGTTCTCAGCTCCTCACCTGCCTGGATGGCCTTGTTTAACATCCGGGGGTTACGCTTGTGACTGAGAGCAGAGCTGGGTCCACGGGAAACACTGGCGGTGGAAACGGAATCCGATGAAATGACAGAGTCGGTTGTCTAAAGAAAAGGAAGCAGAGAGATGCATACAAGCCTCAGAGGTCTGCACACTAATTTGTCACTCTTGCAGAACTCAGGCAAGCCAGCCTTCCTTCTCTCCAACACAGGATGCATCTATCTATATCTCTATCTATCTATATCTCTATCTAACGATGGTCCCTATGGGCGATTTTCGCTTAGCGATGGTTGGGACCATGCTTCACACAGCGATTAAATTTTGGGTCCCCTGTTTCGCTTAACAATGGTTTAAACAGCCTCATGTTTACTGTTTTTTAAATGTTTTTTCTGATATTTATAAAGTTAGAGTTTACTGTTTAAAATGTTTGAAATCATAAAGTGCACTTAATAAACCCTTTGTTAACCAAATTTGACTTTGTTCTGACTCTTTTTAAATTTATTGTTGTATATAGGTTTCAATGCATTTCAATTCTTAAACATACATAATATTGAAGCTTTAGTTCAGCAGATAATAAAATTTAAAAAAATTGCCACCTTCTGGGACTCTTCTGGAACTTCCCAAGCCTCAAAAGAGTCCCAGAAGGTGGTGATTTCGCCCGCTCTGACCCTCCGGGTTGTGCAGGATGAGTCTCTAAAGGGTCCTGGAATACACCCTAGGACCCTTTAGAGACTCACCCTGCCCCCCCCGGGGGTCAGAGGGGGCGAATAACCACCTTCTGGGACTCTTCTGAAGCTTCCCAAGCCTCAAAAGACTCCCAGAAGGTGGCGATTTCGCCCATGCTGGCCCTGTGGGGGTGGGGTGGGGGGAGCGTCGCAAGGGTCCTGGAAGGCTCACTTGGACACTTGCGACGCTCCCTCCCACGGGGCCAGTGGGGGCGAAATCGCGGCCTTCGCTCCATAAGACGCACAGACTTCCACACACACACATTTTTTGGGGGGGAAGTGGGTGTTATGGAGCAAAAAATATGGTATTTTGAGGGGTTCTGTGCTGTTGTTGATTGTAGCTGTTTCTTATTATACAAAAGAACCTGTGTAAAGGTAAAGGTTCCCTTTGACATTTAGTCCAGTCGTGTCCGATTCTACGGCGCAGTGCTCATCCCTGTTTCTAAGCCGTAGAGCCAGCGTTTGTCCAAAGACAGTTTCCATGATCACGTGGACAGCACAACTAGACATGGAACGCTGTGACCTTCCCACCGTATTGGTACCTATTTATCTACTTGCATTTGCATGGTTTCAAACTGCTAGGTTAGCAGGAGCTGGAACAAGCGACGGGAGCTCACTCCGTCACATGGATTCGATCTTACGACTGCTGGTCTTCTGACTTTTCAGCATAGAAGCCTCTGTGGTTTAACCCGCAGTGTCACCACGTCCCTAAAAGACCTTACAGGTAAGCAATTTGTGGCCTGAAATGGTTTCTCCCCCAAAAAGAGCATGCTGACAGAGAATATGGTTGCCCAGGAAAAAAAGAATACTGTTATGCAGCTCTTAACAGTTATGTAAATAGGGGTGACACTTGCTTAGAGAATATGGTTGCCCAGGAAAAAAAGAAAAAAGAATACTGTTATGCAGCCCTTAGCAGTTATGTAAACAGGGGTGACACTTGTTTAAATACCATGGCAATTAATGAGAACATTTCTTTTTTCATAATGTAGCAAGCAACTATTACAACGAAGTCTGCCACATTTAATTTTTTTAATTAGGAAAATGTGGTGGATTTTTACTCCTAGTGCAGTAATTAGCATTCTATTAATAATTTCTAAAGCTAAACCTGAGTTGTGCGACAGAGGGGAAAAACACTGATGAACACTTATTAGTCTCAGCAAATCAACTGAACGCTGACATTTCCATCTCCACATTTCTAGCGCTTTAATTCAATCTGGAGGCAAAGAGGCACACAGCTATACTTAGCTTGAGGTAGGGCGAGAAGGATCAATTATTGCTCTCTCAGAGGTTCTACAAGATATTAAGTTTAATTCAATCTGGAGGCAAAGAGGCACACAGCTTGAGGTAGGGCGAAAAGGATCAATTATTGCTCTCACAGGTTCTACAAGATATTAAAGGTATGATACAATACAGTATACCTTCACAGAGACAAAGAGACGCAATTTCGGTCTACAATCCAGCAAAAGAGTGAACATATTCAATGAGAGTGAGAAAACACAAACGGTGACCAGAAGAACTGGACTCAGCTTGTGTGACGTGAGAACATACTGGTTTGGATATGGCAGATTTGCAGGACTAGTGGAGCAGTGGTTAAACTGCAATACTGCAGTCAAGACTCCACTCATTACCCAGGTTTAATCTCAGGTAGTCGGCTCAAGTTTGACTCAGCCTTTTATTCTTCTGACATCAGGAAATTGAGTACGGGAGATTGGGGGGGGGGGGTGGGGGGGGGGGGGGATGCAGCCTGCATAATTAAATTGTTAACGGCCAGAGAGTGCTTTAAGTGCTATGGGGCAGTATATAACCACCATGTTTTGCTTTTTTTTTTGCTCCAGAAAAATCAATAACACCCAATGAGCTTTTAAACTGTTGAGGAACCTTCACTTCTCTTATACCTCCTCCAGCTTGCTACTTAGTGTTCTGGCCTTGTAATGACTACCTACAGGTGGAGTAATAATCACTTAATTGCCATCCAGTCTGTGGGGGTTGGTTAACAGCTCTGATATTTTCCCATAATAGGGTTCATTTCAATGTGAGGTGAGATACCCGTAATTGCCATCCAGTCTGTGGGGGTTGGTTACAGCTCTGATATTTTCCCTTAATAGGGTTCATTTCAGTGTGAGGTGGGATACCCGTATCAATGTTCATCTGGGTATCAAGGTACAAGTAGTCTCATTGCTTCAATGTTCCATCTCTTAATAAAAGATGAGAATAAGCCATTGTTTCACCCACACTGAAGTACGTTTTCTCTAGACATCCGCATCCACAACATCAGCTTGCTCAATTCCACAAGTTTTATTCACCTAATTGCTCCTGCATTTCACAAGACACAACGATTCGCTTTTCTCCAGGGACGCTCAAACTCCCAACCCCGGGCTCCACAGCCAGACAATCCAACTCACTGAGCTATCCAGCCAGTTACAGTGGAGTACGGGTAGCCTAGTGTGTAAGCCAGAGAGTCGGTCCAAATCTCATCTGAGTCAAGGTTTGTTCTACCACATTCTCAGGAAAGTGCCTAACCATTGAAGCCCACTGTCCCAACTCACCCACCTTGTTTACTGGTCCTACCGGGCTGAGGTAGGGGAAATTATCAGAAACTAACAATCTAAGGAAAGTGGATGTGCATTTCAAAAAAGTAAACAGATCTCTCCAAACCCACCTGTCGAAACAAAGGGTGTAAAGAACAGAAAACAGGAGAGGAAATCAGCTGGTAAAGATTGCATACTCTCCCAAGGCTAGTTTTCCCTCTTTGCTTTCCATTTCCCTCTGCATAGGACATATGAGTGCCAAGAGCGCTACATGGTGGGTGGCCCGCCAGAGTTAGCCAATTACATACCTGAGAATCCTGCCTTTTTTGCTCTGAATGGGCCATTTTTTGGTAGTCTGTTCCTCTGGCTCTCCTGCTTCTCTTCCCGTGCTTCTCCGAGCATGTCTTCTGAAGGTTGATGACGCTGTACAGCTGGGAGAGTTTTGTAGATACCTTCACTCGGTCACGCCCAAAAGCTCGAATCAATCTCGCTGTGTCAATGGTGGAAACAGAACCACTTGCCTCTGTCCGAGACACGCTTTCTGTCTCCAGTCGGGTTGCCTCCGATTCACTGGTGATGTCAGTTAACGCGCTGGAGTCTTTCGCCGGCCTCACCTCTGAAGAGGTGTCACTCAGAGCCTCGGAGTTCTGGAGCTGCTCTGAGCTTCCATCCATGTGGTCAACAGCTGCGGCTGCGTTCTGATGCCTGGGTTTTGAAAGCCCTACACCAGTGGTGGCATCTTGGCTTTCTTCTATTTTGCTACAGGTGGCCAGCTTACTTATAGATGCCATTTTCCCTTGGAAGCTGATTTGCTTTGGCTCCTTTCCCTTCGGCTGCTCCTCCTTGGCAGGCAGTGAGTGCCTAACAGGGTTTTGCAGGAGTCTGGCTAACCGATCGAGTCGCTCTACCAGAGACAACTCTTTCCTGTTGCTACTGGGATTTCGTTGAGGATGATCCTTTTGGCGTTCTAAGTATTTTGTCCAGAGTTCATCTAAACTCCCAGTCAAGGGAATACCTTGCTTCAATGGGTGATCAGCCCTCTGCTTCTCTTCCAAGCTACTTTTTGGGCTGCTTGGAACAGGCCATTCTTTAGCCACCTCGTGGCCAGGTTTCCTCACATCAGGAAGGGACCTTTCCTGTTTTGGAGATTCTCTCCCTGAAGTCCTGTTGAAAGTAAATTCCTCAACAAAGCTGTAGTCTAACTCAGGAGTCAGTGGGGAAAAATGATCATCTCTTCTTGCTTGATATGGGGAGACAGGGGCCTGGCTTCTCTCCAAAATGCCCTTGTTGTGGAGGAAGTCTTTTGCTGCAACAGCCAGGTGCCCTTGCTGTATATTCTGCCGCAAGGCATCCTTCCCATGAAGGTGGTCAGTTTCATGCCGCAGAGACACTGGGTGGTGCAGGTAAAATTGAGCAGGCCTGAAGATGGAATTGGTGGTTTTAACAGGTTCCAAGCCATTTCTACTTTTGGAACTTTCTAAGCAGCAGAGAAGAAAAGGAAAGAAAGCAAGATATTTAAGTCACCATGTTCAGCCAGTAAGCAAAGACTACTTATGCTACCTGACCATTTCTTTGCAAATTCACCATGCTTGTGCTTCACTAACTTGAGGCATATGTTATAAAAGCATACTTCAACCACCATCCCAACGATGCATTACAACTCCATTTACAAAACGCTCGGTGATTTTAGCAGCAGCTAAAAATAGCCCTGTGCAATCTGGGATGGTTACTGATGGCTCTTCTGCTGATAACCTAAGAGCGAGCAGTGCTTTTTTCTTTTAAGGGAACACAATATAACCTCTGACTAAAATGCCCTGAAGGATGGAACATCTTTGGTACAATGGAAGATGCATACAAAGTTGAGACTTTCAGTGAAATGTAAGAACACTAAGGTAGGGCATGATAAAGTTTATAAAATTGTAGCACAAAGAGCAAAGACGTTTGTCACACACCGGAAGAATTTGAAAATAACTAAAGACATGATTAGTGGTGGGCTCAGGGCACACCACAAGGAAGAATTTTGCACTGTACATGAAATTATGTTGTCCATGGTGTACTGATGTTCTGCAACACAGACAGCTTATAAAATGAAAATGGGTTCAGAATAGATTTAATTATGGCTATTACTCATGACAGTTAAAATGGAGTTTCCAAGATTCATTCCTTGATCTCTGCAAGCTTTCTACAACAGAGGGATCTAGATGGCGTTTTGGTCTCTCCCAAAAAAGCCCTTAAAGAGCCAATCACCTCCCTGCAAGAAAAAAAGCCACAGAAGTCAACTGAGAGTTGTGTAATCATCTGCCTGCTCTTCTGGTGAAGGAGGTTTTATTGAAGGAGGGCCCTTAAAATGGCTCCTTGTTTAGTTGGGCGAAGCCTTTGGAAAAGCCTCTGGAATCTTCTCTTCCCCTTGAAAAGAAGATCTTGCAAAGAGAAAATCCATATGATTTGACTTGGGATGTCAAATCAGAATTATCTATTTATAAGCTAGAGGATTGTTTTCTTTGCAGAACAGACAGCTCTCCCTCAACAGAAACTCACTTCTTACTATCCATGTTTTTTTGCATGCTTCCTTCTAATACTAACATTTGGGTTACTGTGTAAGACATTCTACAAGAGCTGATCAAAGCCACAGACAGGAGAACTATCTCATATTTTGTGCATGCTACTGTTAACAAAGATATTGTGGTTATGATTCCATAATCTTGTGTGAAATGCTTATATCTGTCCAGGCTCCCCCTGTATCTCCAAAATGTCTTTCAGTTCTGCTCTAATTCTTTTGCCGTTTGGAGATTCTATTTAGCTCCTTTCCTTGCTTCAGCAGCAAGAAGAGACTATCTGGATGGCTCATTCTGCTTTGCCAGAGGACAGAGAGAGAAAAAAATATCATGGAGATCGAACAAGACACAAGTTTCCTGTGTTGGTGCAAAGAAAAGGAAAAAGGAAAAGGAAAACCTGTTCTTGGGCTCCCTCTTCCTCAGGGAGGGAGGGAGGAGTTGATGACAGAAGAAAGGAAGGAGAGATGAGCCAGAGATGAGAGCATTATCCATCCATCCATCCATTCACCCACCTATCTCTTTACCCTACATTTCTCCTTAAATGACCCAAGATGGCTTACATAATTAAAAGACAATGTTTAAATCTAAAAACAGTAAGTATACAAATACTAAAAAGGAACAAACAAATACTACACTGTATTCGCGAAGGCTTTCACGGCCGGGATCTAATGGTTGTTGTGGGTTTTTCGGGCTTCTTGGCCGTGTTCTGAAAGTGGTTCTTCCTAACGTTTCGCCAGTCTCTGTGGCTGGCATCTTAAGAGGACAGCAAACAGTTTCAGAACACGGCCAAGAAGCCCGAAAAACCCACAACATCCATTAAATACTACACTAAAAGATGGTATACAGAAGCAATACCAAAAACACATACAAAGCAGTAAGGTTCCACCCTGCATTTAAAACCCCATTCAAAGTACCCAGTCAATTAAGGGAAAGCCTGCCTGAAGAGAAAGGTCTTCACCTGCTTGTGGAAGGACAGCAAAGATGGGGCCAGCCTGCTCTCCAGTGGGAGGGCGTTCCAATGTATGGGAGTAGCCACAGAGAGGGCCCTCCCCCTTGTCCACATCAAATACACCTGTGAAGATGGCAGGACCAAGAGAAAGGCCTCACCCGATGATTTTAACAGCCAGGCAGCTTCATAAATGGAGATAGCTTGGACTCAAGCTGAAGTTTCCTGACACTTTTTAGAGGCAGCCCCATGTAGAGCATGTTACAGTAATCCAGCCACTAGAAGGTCTTCTCCCAGCCAATGAAATCCAAGGGACTGTTTGCTGCTATCTAGGTTTGGTGCTCAGATTGCCTAAAATCCTACTATTCTAGATTCTGCTCGCTAGAGGTGGGGGGCTATATGTAGCCTGTATAATTAAATTGTAAACCACCCAGAAAGTGCTTTAAGCACTATGGGGTAGTATATAAGCAAACACTTTGCTTCCCTGCCCCCAACAGGAAAAGCTTAAAAGGCGTGGGGAATAGTCGCAAACTTGTAGCCTCCATCATTTATTATTTGCCATAATTATGTTACTGTGCATATTCAGAATACCGCCTAGTACAATTATTTTTTCTCTCTGCTGGGAAGCGGATCTGCCTGCAGCTAAGAAAACAGGCTCTTGGCATTTCTTCTTCAACAAAATGAATGCATGTACTGTATTCACTCAAGAGAAATATTCCACCTTAGGTGTTGTAAAGTTATCATCATCCCCGTTTTTAAGCAGTCTGAATGCTAATTTTATATTAACTAGTATCAGTCAATTACAAAGATAATGGACAAGTGAGGGCTTGCCTGATTTTAATCCTGATTTCACTAGGAGTTAATTTCTGAGAAATCAAATGAGAAATTTGCTTTACTATTACCGACCTAGAACCAGAAACAAAGTCTGGTAAAATTCCCAGAATCCCCAGCCAGCATGGAAACTGGTCACGCTGGTTTGGGGTTTCTGGGAGCCGCTCTCTGAACAAATTTTTGAATCTTTGGGAAAGAACATTTACTCCTGGCAGGCAGTTCCTGGGGCCACGAGACTAAGAGCTTCTGGTCTGAATGAAAGAACTTTAGCCTTGAGAAAAGAAGACTGGGCGGGGGGGAGATAAGATAGCACTCTTCAAATACTTAAAAGGCTGTCCTCCAAAGGAGGGGCAGGATCTGTTCTCAATCATTCCAGAGTGCAAGACACACAACAATGGGCTCAAGCTAAAGGAAGCCAGATTTAGGCTGAACATCAGAAAAAAAACTTTTTAACTGTTAGAGCAGTGTGAAAATAAAAGCAACGACCTCAGGAGATTGGTGAGAGCTCCAGTTCTCAAGGCATTCAACAGAAAATTGGGCAACCATCTGTCAGATGTGCTTTGATTCAGATTCCTGCATTACGCAGGCAATTTGACTCGCTGGCCTTATAGGCCCCTTCCAACCCATTCATTCTACGGTTCTATGATTTTACCACCATTCTCTCCTTAACAAGTACCCCTAACTAGTAGAGCAGGGGTCTCCAAGTTACGGTCCATGGGCCACATCTGGCCCGCCTGGCCTTTTCATCCGGCCCGTGCATACATGTGTGAGGGCAGGAGGCTGGGAGTGCGTGGCACATTCCTTCAGCCCCTTGAAAATATGGGAAATATATTATGTGGCCCTCACTGTGGAAAGTTTGGAGACCCATGTACTAGAAGGAAATGTTACATGCCCATCCTTTTGTTAATATTTTGAATACAGTTTCAATATTACATAAAAGAGCACAGCCTAAGTAAAAAATCCATCAAGAGGGTGCCCAGTTTGCTCTTATTACACATCTAGATGGATGCACATAGAAAGCCAAGTGGTGTGACAGAAACTTGTACATTGCCTTCCGTCTCATCATCATTAAAAAAATTTGTTATAAGTATGTCTTTGAACAAACCATCAGCAGCATCCCCAGGGCCCTGAGCTTGAACACCCTTTCCTTCCGAAAGAGGTCACATTATACCCTTCTTTTCAGACATTTTCTTCTTGCAGTAGTCTTAGGGTATGTGAAAACCAACTAGCCCCCTTTTCATGTCAACTGTCTTATTATCACTCTCCCCCATAAAGGCACCCCCACCTTGGACTGTTCTGGAAATAATCCAAAGCAAAAGAAATGTCCACACTTTGCTAACTCAAGACTTAGAAAAGAAAAAGTGTCCATTCATCAGAAGTAAAGAAAAGCCATTACCTTCCATACCATGCTGTGCTGACATTTTTTCTTCTGCCCAAGCATTCCTGGGTGCGGGCCTTTTACTATAGATACCCTCTCTGTGTCGAATCGCTACAGAGCTGGGAGGATTCTCATTCCAGGAGCCAAGCGTTTGTGGTGGGAATTCTGGAGGCACAGCATCATTGGAACCTACCGATAAAGGCACGGAACAAATTATAGAAGAGAGGCAGTGGGGAGGATAAAAGCACAAGATGGGTCAGGCAGAGAAACAAAACTTGCATAACAAAACAAATGGATGAAAAGCATCTTGCACTAAGCGTATGTTCCCCCTCATCTAAATGACTGCAGTCTTCTCCTCTGTGATCTCCCACATTCTCACTTTGTTTCTACCCAGTATTTTTCTACCAAAATCATTCAAACCTACCGGCTTGGTTTTAAGATTCCATTTGCCATCAAAGGTGAGATCCAGAACCCAGGAGTGGAAAAAGTCAATTACTTGGCTCTCTCTTCCCTGTTCTAGCCAGAGACCTGAGCTGTAGATTGTTTTGGAATTAGACCAAGGGCCACAGCTTGTCCACTCCCAACCCAACTTAGGCAAAAGAAAGCCCTAAGTCACCTTCTGGTTCCTGAAGAATGCTGAGCAGGAGGACACTAGCATAGAGGGAGGTGTAATATTTGATTATTTATGAAACAAGGCAACAGCAAAAGAAGACTGAGGGAAGCTGCATTTGCAAATGCTTGAAAGACTGTCATTCAGAGGGACAGGATCTGTTCTCAATCATCCCAGAGTGAAGGACACATATTGAGGAGAGGGGTTGGGCTCAACAGCTTTATAAGCCCCTTCCAACTCTATGATTATACCACCAAAATAATAATTTAAAAAAATCATTCCAGCAAAAGATGAAGGGAGCAGCCTTGAGACCAGCCCATGTGGTATTGGAGATTAGAAGATTTGTTTGTTTGCTTGCTTATTGATTTGATTTGTATACCACCCAGCTTAGAGAAACTCACTATTCTGGATGGTATACAAGGAAAATCAACCCATAATAACATTACGCCCCTGAACAATACAAGGCAACAAAATAATATATAAAGGACATAAAGGAAGTGACAAGCTGCAACAGAAAAAGGAGAGTCAAATGGTGACATACAGAAAGCTCAGGGAAAAAAACAACATCCTATTTTAGAGGAAAGATGTTCTGAAAAGCCTCTTTATAGAGTTCTGCTTTACCGAGTGTTTTGAAGATAAGGAAGGGTGAAGCCCTGGCCTACGTCCAGTGATAAGGGAATTCCAAAGTGACGGGGCGACCACCAAGAAGACCCAACTCCTGGTCGACAGTCTTCTGGCCTCTCTCAGTGTGGCCACTCTAAGGAGCCAGACCTACACAGGTAATAGTTCTTTGGAAGAGACAGTCCAACAGTTCCCAAAGTCCCAAATTGTTTAGGGCGGTGTAGGTAAGCACTAACACTTTGAATCTGGCATGGAAGCTGAGAGAGAGACAGCCAGTGCAAACGGCACAAAGTTTGGACTAGGAACCCAGGGACATAAAGATTCCAAGTCCTGCTCAGCTATGGAAGGATCACAGAATAATGCTGGTCCAGCCAAGATCACCTCCCAGCTAATCAGCTGAAAATACCAGCAACATCAAACACTTCTGGTCTTTTTCTAAAGTGAATGTGCATTTCCGATGACAGTCTTTCCTCACAGGCACCCTGCAGAAGGGTCAGGCAGCAAGCAGCTCCTACCCTCTCCCCGCCAGCAGTGCAAGAGAGGGTGATGAAAGAAAATGCCTGTGGGTTTGGCTCAACTCAGCAACGCACTTTTGGCAAATGTTCTCTGCATTAAAACTCGTGGTATGGAGCAGTGTGGACATGGTTTTTTTTTTAAAAACAAAAAAAAAACAAGTCAGAGTAACCTGAAATACCTGAATGGGAGCTCTCCACGGTTGTCTCCGACTTGATACGAAACAGCCTGAGTGTTTCTTTTCGACAAGGAACATAGTACATTTCTGAGCTCCCCGGTGGTTTATATGGGAGCAACACTGGCATACCTGCAGCGGGGAAAGCAAAGTAAGCAACTTAATAATCATCACGAGCCGTCAAGTCAATTCTGACTGATGGAGATCCCTTTTCAGGGTCTTCCAGGTAAAGAATATCCAGGAGAGGCTCCCCAATCCCTTCTTCTGGGGGTGCCCTCAGACAGTGGAGCTCACCCAAGGCCATACAGGCTGGCTTTACTCACAGGAGACCTTTGACATTAGCTGTGCTGGCTAGGATTTCTGGGAGTCATAGCCCAAGAACTTCTGAGGACTCAAGATTAAGAACCACTGGTCTAGAGCAGAGGTCCCCAACACCCGGTGTGCGGCCCAGTGCCAGTCTGTGGCCTGAGCCGGACCGGGCTGCGGAGACAGACCTCCTGCCCCACTCCCTGCATACACTCACCCCTGCACAGCTGATTTGCACATGTGCACGTGCTCCAACATGCTCGTGCGAGCATTGCGCTGCCGTTTGTGCATGCGCATATGCTCGTTCGCACAGGCGCACGAGCGTGGGGGATGCCCCATCTTCCCTAGCCGGTCCGTGGGGTGAAAAAGGTTAGGGACCCCTGATCTAGAGGGTTCAAGGTTCATCTTGAAGAGATGTCAGGTGTGTCTCAAGGAATTAACAAGAGACTGGAACAATTTGGTGCCTTCGGCAGAGTATCCAAGAGCCAAAAAGAAACCCTAAAGGTGGCTGCACAAATATTAGCTTTGATACACAGAGGGCGATGAGGTCCTTTGTATAAATGAACAAGCCTCCCAAGATTTGTGGAGAGGAAAGCCAGAAATGTTAACAATTTCCTTCACTGCAGAAGCAGACTTTCAACAGAGAGAGGCTTCTAGAGTGAAAGGGAATGGGCGCGAGCCAATCTCAATGTTCTCTAAATGCTCAGCTTTTGGAGTTTGCTCCCTTTCATAAAACACTTTGCAATACTCTATCTCATTAACTGCTACGTTTAAAAGAAGGATGTAGGCATAACTCCCTGGCGCTGGCTGACTTTTGTGTCCCTAAGCCCAAGGCAAAATAGAGACAGAATCTCTGGAGATAGAAAGAATGGGTTTTATTCTTTTATGCAGCCCAATGCATTTCATCAGGCATTCTGTAGAGTAGAACTCTTGTTTTAAGCAGTTGTATTTCTGAGCCAGCTTTCCCCCATAATGGCAATATCCTGGAGAGAAAGGAGATAAATTGGATGTTCAAGGTTGGGACTCTGGTTCCCTATAGTGCTCAGTGAGCAGCTTGAGTTCATTCAGCTGCTTTAAAGACTATTTCTAGGCAGTCTCTATTTTTCTTTCTGCTGTGAAGATGCTGTGATTAAGCTGGCCTTGAAACTGTCTTCCACCCTCCAAAAAAATAATAATAATGAAAGAGAACACTTTGCCTCCTCCACAGCATTCAACCACTTGCCGTTGGTGAAATCTGGTAACACACTTTATTGAAATCCCCACAGGCAGCCAGATGTCTGTATTGTTCTGTAAACGTACAATGACTTATTTCTTATGTACACATAATAAAAACAAAAACATAAGACTTCTGGCATCTTAAAAGACCTAAAAGACTTGTTTCCTTTTAATCATTCAGAGATTAAGACACCTCCGTGTACACTTGTATTTTTCGACAGAAGGGGCCGTTGTCAGTCTGTGCAAGCAGATCAGACCGAAAAACAAGGGACAAAAATGCTGTTTGCTATATTTTAATGTGAGCTTTTGTGAATCAAGTCTGCTTCTTCAGACATGTCCACAAAAGCTCACATTAAAACAGTTAGTCTTTAAGGTGTCACAATGTTTTTGTCTCTTGCTTTGTTTATTTGTTTGTTCTTGTTGTCTTCTCTGATTTCCTTGGGCACATGGGCTGTTAAGAGTTAGTCCGCAGGTTTATATTTTATTTATTTATTTATTTATTATTAGATTTTCATCCCGTCCTTCTAGACAGGAGTCTACTCAGGGCGGCTCACAATATATTGTGCACAATACGGATTTAAAAACAATTAAAATCTATAATAATAATAATAATATAATCAAGATGGGAAGATAAACAAAAAAACCAAGAAAAGTAAAAATCAAGTATTGATTATAAATCAGTTTTATATATTCAACACACTTCCTGAAGACCATGCATAGGATATCTAAGTCACCATTACTGTGCCTGTTCATTACCAGCTTTAGCTGGGGATGAATGGTCATTTTCAGCACTCAGGCTTCCAAACATTGTAAGACACTTTTACATTTTCAGCACTCAATACAAATGTTGTCCTTGTTATCCTCTTTTTCCTATTACAAAAGCCATTGGCTTAAAAAAAAATAGCAAAGTGTGCTGCTTATATTGCCTGATAGCATTCAAAGTCCACACTGAAATAAATCTGTTAGCCATTAAGATGCCAACAAAACTGTTTTTTTAATTGTTATATATGTAGAAACAGACTAATATGGGAATAACTTAATCTTGTATGTATGTAATATTAACCGCTTACTGCATTGCCCTCTACAGATTTTAATGTTAAGTGCAAGATATATTTACATACAAATATTCTATTCATTTTAATTTTACGTTCAGCTTATGGATATTCACGTCCACACATTGCCCTTTTAAATTAATTCCTAGAGAAGGATATACAAATACCTCCTGGCCAAAACAAGCTTAGATATTTAGAATAAAACTTAAAAAAACAAAAACAAATCCAAGACTCTGCCTTGCTCCTAGATTGGGTTCTGTTAAGATGTTCTCCATTTTCTTCCCAATTCCCACATATAAACTAACATTATCAACAACAACAACAAAAAGGCATGGATGAAAACTGACACAACTGAGAATCGGACTAAAATCTGAACACCCAAGAGAGACTCTCAAGGGGGTATGTGGATAACAAATAATATGTTACTGAATGTCCCAGCAGCCAAAGGGCTGAATTTCACTTTTGGAAAAATGGTGACAGTGTTAACCTCCTGTTTTCAAAAGGAACCATGATCCAGATAGCTGTTAGGAACCCCTCCCTCTGCCCGATGCACCAGGGTTTCAATCACAGCATGGCTTTCAATGGTTTCTCAAGAGGCTCTCTTTCAGTTGTCCACTCTCCACAAAGACATCTTACTGTTGGGAAAAATGTTCCTCACAGGTTGTGCACAGACCAGTAAATGAAGAACCAGTAACTAAGCTTTTATGTCTGATGAAACAGACGTGTCTACAAAAGCTCACATTAAAAATCTATATACAGTGGTGCCTCACACAGCGACGTTAATCCGTTCCGGATTAACCCTCGCTGTGTGAAAGCATCGTTGAACGGAACGTAAAAACCTATTGGAACGCATTAAACAATTCGTTCCAATTGGGCCGAATACTCACCGTTCAGCGATGCTTCAGGATGGCCGGCAGCCATTTTCGCGCTATCCCCTCGCTTTACGAGGGCGCGAAAACATTGCACGCGGCCATTTTGGGGCTTCCGGCGGCCATTTTGTAGCCGCCGAATAGCTGATCGGCGGGTCGCAAAGCGAAGGTCGGTAAGCAAACCGCTTACCGACCTTCGCTCTGCGATTTTCGCCCTATGCAGGCACCGTTTTGCAATCGCAAAACCGGCCTTGTAGAGCGAATTCATCGCTCTACTACAAAAGCTCACATTAAAAATCTATATATAAAAATTAGTCTTTAAGGCGCCACCATGTTGTTGTGTCTTTTTAAAAACTTTTTTGTGTGTTTTCACCTGTAAGTCAAAGAAGCTATTCACACCTGCCTGTTGTCGAAAACTACAACAAACAGCTTCCTAGCTACATTAATTTATTTATTTGATTTGTATACCACCCATCTGGCTACCAAGGCCGTTCATTCTCAAATTATGAATGGTCAAGCTTAGTTCCTCCTTGACTCAAAAAAGCCAATTTCTGTTCACAAGCCTAGGTAGGCAGGTATCATCATTTACAACTTTATTTCAGGGGACCCTGGGTTTTGCAGGCTGTTGTAATCACTACCCTGCCTTAGGAGGGCTCTTTAGCTCAAGCAACAACAACTTAAGTGTCTCACCTGTCTGTCCCTCCAAAAGGGAGACCTGGTTCACAGCAGGCATTGCGGTACTTGGAAACTGGTCTCTCTTCGGAGGAAGAAGGTTCAAAGCCGACGCCTCTTTACTGTCAGTGCTAACAAATATCTCTGCAGAATAGGTTGTCTTTTCAGGGCTTTCCGTTGTTATCTGAGTGATGGCATCCGATGACATCCTTTGTGTCTGAGAAGCAACTGTGGTCTCTGCATTTTCTTCTAGTCCACCTGAACTTAAGACTATAGCATTTCCTTGCTGTGTGCCTGGAAAACTTTGCCTGTCTTCCTCAACTCCATGTGAGACATGTTTTGTTATACACGAAATAGGTGAATGCCTTAAGTGAGAATCTGGTGGTGATAATGGTCTTGGGAAGTGTGATGAATCTTGAGTCTTTGGGGGTTTTAACCTAGACGGAGCTTCACGCAGTGGATCATTTAAAGTTGCTGGCTTAGAGCTCATCTTACACCCACCGGCTTGTTTCATATCAGGGCCGGCGTCCAAAGGACTTGAACAATCCAAATCAAGACGCTTTGGGGAGAGAGTAATGTGGACTGCAGACAGGGCTTTCTTAGTTGGCGAGGAAGGAGATACAGGTACGACAGCTGAAAAGCAATCTAGGGAAGCTGGTGGCAATGGACTGATACCTCCTATGCCCATGTCTCCAGTGTTGCATAGATTCAAGTCAAAAGTAAGTTTATTCTCTGTTGTACTGTCTTTCCCTTTAAGAAAAAACGGCTCATGGGCAAAGCTTCCTGTGCCATTCAGTGACCGATTCTGGAGGCAAGCTTGATCCGTCTTCTGCTGAGATGAGTTTACAGAGAAGAACACATCAGTTCTCATTCTTTCTTCCTCAGACTGGTTATCAGAAGCAACACCTAAAGGCTTCTTGTGTCTTCTCAGATCAGAAAGGGCTTGAGAAGAAGACTGAATTCCTTCATGGGCCTCCGTAATAAAGTGGACCTTCTGCTCAACACAACTGGTTTGAGGTTTCCCCTGTGATGTGATGCCATCTTCTGCGTGCAATTCCTCCTTGTGGTCATTCTGACGGTAGTATTTATCTGATGAAAATCCCACATTCATATCTGGCATATGTTTGGCTGTTGGGTTTCCTGAAGGATGGGATTTGAACGTTTCTGGATGTTGCCTACTAGATTTTGGCTGTTCACTGGTAACAGACTGGGCTTTGGAAGTTACCAGATTACAAGGAGTGGCCTCGGTAAGACCAGGGCAGGGTACACAGGAAGCAGAAGGAGAATATGACCTTTTCCGAGATGCAAAAGTGATAGAAGTAATTTGTTTGGCAGGTTCTGTAGAAGAGCTGGTGACAGTCAATTTTGCCTGGGCCAACACATTCCTCTCCTCTCCTACGATCTCCCTGGGAGCACATGTCTGCCCCACCAGATGCGTATCTGTAATATTGCATACAGGAGGTTGGAAATGTTGTCTGGAAGACAAGACGTTATCTGAGGGGGTGTGGAGCTGCTTGTAGGCACGGCTTTCGACACCGGTCAAGGACATCATCTCTGGATCAATTGGAAAGGTACTGCCAGCTCCACCCACTGGTCGGGCCTGAACTTCAAGTAACTCTGGAAATGCAACTACTTGGGAATTTTGAGTGTAAATGGCCTTTTGCAGATCATTTTGACCGAGAAGATTTGAAAGTCCTGCGTTGGGCTCTGGGATAGGGCTGTGGCTCGAAATTCTCTGAGATCCATCTTCCCAAAGCTGATTCTGTTGAGAATCCAAGAAAAACAGAAATTTTACAACATATGAATTTTAATACCTAATGAGGTTCTATGCATTAAATTGAGTAATTTTGATCTGTTTATCTCCCACAATGAATGGTAGAGAAAATGAATACCAAGACTCCAGAAGTCTGTCTCCCCAGACTAGTAAAATAAGGGGCAATTGCAGTGTGGAAGGTTTCTCAATAAATATGAAGTACCTAACTATGAGCAACAGAAGAGAAGCAAACAGAGAAATACTTCCTCAAAATCTGTCTGTCTGTATCATGGATAGAGACAGGGAAGGAAAAGCCAGATGCCTTGAGTTACAATGTAGAACCAGAACCAATTCATGTCAAGAGAGTGATTGGTGCAAAGTACAGTACTTGCAAAGACACCAGTATTCGCTTATCGTTCCTCAAACCACTTGGAATGAGTAAGACTGGGTACAGTATTTATCTTTATCTTATTGATAGAGTACAAGTGATTAACATAACATAAAAAGAACCTTTCAAAGACTGCTTGTAAAATTCAAAAGTAGCAACAAAACATTAAAATCAAACAGAAATAAAAAGGTTAAAACACATTAGCACGTTAATCTAAAGAGGCAGCGGAAAAACTAGTAGGACACCTATTGGGTAGAGAAAAGAGACAAGAACTTGGTGTTTTCCAACGTACTTTCCAGCATCAAATTAGGTACAGTTTTCTTATAGTTCTTTGCATGTTCCAGCAGAATGGCATTCTTGAAGAGGTGGATCTATTTCATTTAAGTGTGTTTTCGTGTGTTTTACTTTTCTATTCTCTTTGTACTTATTGTTTTCATTAAATATTGATTAAAGGCAAGACTTAATATTGCATTCCTATGAGGAAAGTGAGGAGGAATTAAAGAACCTGAGGGTGAAAGAGGAGAGTGCAAAAAATGGTCTGAAGCTCAACATCATAAAAAATTTAAATCATGGCCACTGGTCCCATCACCTCCTGGCAAATAGAAGGGGAAGATATGGAGGCAGTGACAGACTTCACTTTCTTGGGCTCCATGATCACTGCAGATGGTGACAGCAGCCACAAAATTAAAAGACGTCTGCTTCTTGGGAGGAAAGCGATGACAAATCTAGACAATATCTTAAAAAGCAGAGAGACACTGCCTTGCCGACAAAGGTCTGGATAGTCAAAGCTATGGTGTTTCCATTAGCGATGAATGGAAGTGAGAGCTGGACCATAAAGAAGGCTGACCACCGAAGAATTGATGCTTTTGAATTGTGGTGCTGGAGGAGACTCTTGAGAGTCCCTGGACTGCAAAGAGAACAAATCTATCCATTTTGAAGGAAATCAACCCTGAGTGCTCACTGGCAGGACAGATCCTGAAGCTGAGGCTGTAATACTTTGGCCATCTCATGAGAAGAGAAGATTCCCTGGAAAAGACCCTGATGTTGGGAAAGTGTGAAGGCAAAAGGAGAAGGGAACAACAGAGGATGAGATGGCTGGACAGTGTCATCAAAAGTACCAACATGAATTTGACCCAACTCGGGGAGGCAGTGGAAGACGGGTGTGCTCTGGTCCATGGGTTCATGAAGAGTCAGACATGACTTAACGACTAAACAACAACATGAGAAAAGACTGAAAGAACTGGGCATGTTTAACTTTGAGAAATGAAGACTGAGGGGAGATAGGATAGCACTTTTCAAATACTTAAAAGGTAGTCTTACAGAGGAGGGGCAGGATCTGTTCTTGATCATCCCAGAGTGCAGGACACATCATAATGGGCTCAAGCTACAGGAATCCAGATTTAGGCTGAATATCAGGAAACACTTAATGGTTTGAGCAGTACGACAACGGAACCAATGACCTCAGAAGGTGGTGAATGCTCCAACACTGGAGGCACTCAGGATAAAACTGGAAGGCCATCTGTTGGATCTGCTTTGATTTGGATTCCTGCCTTGAGCAGGGGATTGGACTTGATGGGCTTAGAGGCCTCTTCCAACTCCTTTATTCTATGATTTCCTCAGCAATAGTCAAATCTACTTGCATGCACTCTAATGCCTTTGGCTCCCCCATAAAGATTGATTTGGATTCCTGCCTTGAGCAGGGGATTGGACCTGATGGGCTTAGAGGCCTCTTCCAACTCCATTATTCTATGATTTCCTCAGTAATAGTCAAATCTACTTGCATGCACTCTGATGCCTTTGGCTCCCCCATAAAGGCATCTTTTAAATGGTGTTCCTTTAGTCTTAACAGGGAGTGGGGTAACAGCACTTGCCAGTACAGAATGGCACAGTGGTTACCTACCATGAAGAATTCTTGGTTGGAACACCTAGCAGTGCTCAGGAGGACACAAATCACATGTCAAGTACCTTTCATGACAAAGCTAGAGGCAGGCTGGTAAAATGGAGACGATCCGACAAGGTAGCAGAAACCTGGAAATAAAGGCAAGCTTACCATTTCCCTGCTCTCCTGGTTAGGGCACAAGGCAGAAAAGGGGGTGGGGGTGGAGGAAAAGGGATTGTAGAAGTGAAGGTAAACAGAAAAGCTGTTAAGAACTAGCTCTTTAAGAGGGAAACAAATAACAGAAATAGTGAACCGTATAACAGAAATACGTTGTGGGCAGAAGGCAGGGAAAAGGATGGATGAGCAGTCTCAGGCTATACTGGAAAATGATCAACATGGGGCTGTTATCTCCCTGGGCAGTTTTAGGGCTTAAGCAGTGTATGGGGGGGGGGCCCTCCTCCATGCCAAACAAAGAATTCTCTCTACAAAGTGCAAAAATACTGGAGGTAACTTTCCTTGTGTATTTTTGCCTCCAAAATAGTGCTTATTAAAAGCATTTTTCACAGAGCTGCATGAAGAAAGGAGTGTTTCCCAAAAGTTTTTTAAAGACATGTCCATAAGCAGAAGCTGGCCAAAAATCTAACATCCTGTTTATGCATAACATGGGATGACTGACAGCACAGAGTGCTGACAACAGATATAACCAACATCCTACTGAGCTGTTATGTGCTGGCTGGCTCTCTGCTGTGGGAAAGAAGAAAACCTCTTCAATATAACCTGTTCTGAACTCTTACAAGTACCCACAAGAGTGAAATGGTCAAGAACCAAAAAAAAATTAAACCAAATTAAAAATAATAATGAAAAATAAAAACAGCAAATGGATGTGAGGTTTCTCTGCAAAAGTGTCTAGGATAGCTTCAAAGAATCAGGTAACTTTCAATCAAGTTCCGAGAGGCATTTCAAACTGTTAATAAAAATCTTACATGCTTTCTTGCACTGGGTGTCAGTCGGAGGAGCGCTTTTAGGACCTAAAGGGATTCTCATTTCCTACTAACCTATTGATAAAGTTCTTTTTTCCTCACTTCTGGTTTGTTCCTCCCCTTTTGTTAGTCTTTCTCTCTCCTTTCCTGCCCTCTAAACGTGCAGGTAGCATGGAAGGGTCTCCTCCATTTGTGGAGGCTTCATTTCCCTATTCTTCTACTGACTGTAACTACAGACAGCAACTGTAAGTAAAGATAATTCTCTTTTTTCCATTTAAAATGCTTCCAGAGAGATTTTTAGCAGATACAGTGCTAGTCACTGAAAAGAGATGGGCTACTAAGACTTAAGCCACACTTAAGCCACAACTGCACACTCTGTACAGTTGTTGTTTGTGGCTGATACTCTGCTAATTATAAAAGGAATTTATCAAATATCTCCAATGTCACCGTGTTTTAAGTGAAAAGACCATCTACATAGTGAAGAGACTACAATGCACTATGTTTTTAAATCCACACAGCTTTCTGTCAATAAATGCAAACTATTAAATTCATAACTAAACTGAAGAAAAGACACTTCAGTTTAGAATGAGGAAAATCAATTTAAAAAGCAAATCTTCATCTTTCTGTTGTTAGCATCGACTGCACATGAGCTGAGGGGGACCAATACAAAAAGTTGTCAATTTTTCTTTAGAGGAAACAAGACTGTAAGTAAAGAAAGAAGTATAAACGAATTATACTTTTGTTTATTTGACAAAGGAAATGCAGTTTGTATGATACAAAGAAAAAAGCTGTCGGTTTCACAATGAAAGGCTAATATAAAACACATCTCCACAGAACAAAGATCACCCAGCAAACAGATAGTCAAATAAACAAGGAGTCTCTCCTTCAAATACATGCAGGAAATTCAGCACCAGCAGCTTCAGCCTCCCACAGTAGGAACTGCTGGCTACCAATTAAGAGGAAAAGAAACAGTACACAGGTGCATAATTCAAAGCTTCAAGACTCCATGCTAGAAATTCACACTCCAGTTTTCTCACCCCTATGTAAGTACGAGGCAGAGGCATTATTACCATGTGATGGAAAGGAGAAAAAAAGACACATGGGGGGAAAAGAATCAACAGGTGTTTGTATCCGTCTGTTATTCAGGAACAGTGACACCATTGGAACTAAGGAGTGGTTCAACATACAAAGGCTTCTCCACTTTCACTCAAAAAGCAAGAGTAGCACCCCATGTTATATTTGTATGCGATCAAGGCTGAATTTCCCCCCCACCCACCTCAGGCTGTGAGTACAGGAAGGTCCACAAGAATCATTCCAACCCCTTTCACTAGTTCCCGGAAGCTGGATTTAATCTACCCATAAGATATGGATCCTTTATGCCCTTGGACTGTTTGTTATTCCAACCTTCAACGGATTACCTGTATGAATTCAGAGGCCTCGGAAATCCTTGTCTCTATAAGGCATCTCCTTTATTTTCTTCCCCTTTCCCAGAATTAAATACTGGATCTCTCAACTGAACCGTAACATGCATGCACACAAAAACACAGGGAGCTGACCTTGCAGCCTGAAGTAGATGTACACAGACCCTCCTTGACCTCACAACTCACTGCACATTTACCCCACCCAGGACACAAGCACCAGTCCAGGCTAAAAAAAATGGTGCCTCGTTAAAAAGAAGGCAAATACATTTGGTGCAAGACTGCAGGGTGATTATAAGCAACCGTGATATGTAAACAATGCCAATGACGACTGTGGCCTCCCATCTGACTTGCTGATACCCTCTTCCTAAATCCACAGATTGTTTTGTCTTTATGCACAAATGCATTTCGTCACTTATATTTGCGTACAAAAGGCAAGGACAGGTTTTCATTTCCATGGCAATTTCTGAGTTTGAGATGTGACAATGCAATAATACTCCACAACTGACTGCCTGAACTGCGTGCTAAGTCACAATGGCACTATTCGGATTGCACAGGAAAAAAAAAAACCAAACCCATCATTGGTTGTGAGGTTGGCTTATATACATAAAACGACTGACACTTTGTCCAAGAAAAGCAGCAGTTACTCACAGATGGAAATATGGCCAAGCTGCAAGAAAGGGAAGGAAAGGGAGGAGTTGAAGAGTTGCACATGTCCTCATATTCCCAGCAAAATATGGTTTATAGTGAATTCTGCATGCAGTATTAAAACGTGGCAGTTTCCATCAAGAACTGAAAAGTGTGAATGTGACAGGCTCCTGGTGTAACAGTCATCAAGAATCCGCCTTCCCTAACACCGCACGGCAATATCAAAAATGGGAGCTGGAAAAACAAATTAAAACTGGAAGTCATGTAAAGTAGAAACCCTGAAGCAGAACTGCTCCGAGTGTATAATAAAAACAGCTGTGTGATGCGAGTCCTTGTAACATCCGGGACTTTGCTTTCCAAATCTGCATTGTGACAAAAGGCATTTAGGAAGGTAGATTTTCACAGATCCTCAGAATGGCCAACTCCTAGCAAAACTAGACTTATTCTTCCACAGCCCCAGGCAACTACAATCAATGCCCACCTTCCTCGGTAGGCTGCGTAGGCAGAAAGAGCCGAGCTGTGGCGTTCGAAATGCAAACTGTAGCAGCCCTCATACAGGGAACGTTTTGCCTTCAAGCTATTTCAGATATAGCCCATTCTCTAACCCATTCCCCACTATACACATTCTAAGCAATATGGACATTTTATTAAAACACCATTAGTGTCTTTCTGTTGTGTCTGTTCACTGGAAGAACAGTGGAGGCTCCAATACTTTGGCCACCTCATGAGAAGAAAAGACTCCCTGGAAGACACTGATGTTGGGAAAGTGTGAAGGCAAGAGGAGAAGGGGACGGCAGAAGACGAGATGGCTGGACAGAGTCATCGAAGCGACCAACATGACTTTGACCCAACTCCGGGAGGCAGTGGAAGACAGGAGGGCCTGGCGTGCTCTGGTCCATGGGGTCACGAAGAGTCGGACACGACTTAATGACTAAACAACAAAGTGTCTTTCTATGAAATCTTCCTCTGCTGCATCACCATGGCATATTAGGTGACGGCAAGCGCTGGAAACAATGGCATCCAAAAGTAACCTCCAGGAGGAGGTTCTCTCTGGCTGGCATGGTTACAGGTGTGCCTCTGGCTGCTCTGCCATCTGAAAACTGACTCATCTACATACAAGAGAGGCTTATGACCAGATGGCTGGCCACTAGAGGACGACCTGGCCACAGTAATGTGGTTGTAAGAAGGTTGCCTACAGGGTTTCCTTTTTCTGTTTCTTTATTCTCAACAATATAACAACAACAAAACACTGTAAATAAAACATCAAAAAGAAAATGCAACAAACACATCAACTTAAAAAGAAAAAAGAAACACAAGTATTTACATACATTTTTAAATCCATGCTCCCCACTACCCTCAGACCTAATTTACTATTAGTTTTACTTTATGTCTGCAGCTGCACCATTTCTCTCCAGAAATATAACGATTCTTGTCTGGGGTGTAACCTTTTCCTTTCTCAAACACATGTACTAAAGATACATTCCATATTTCCTTGAAATCATTTGTATTCAGAATTCTTTTTCTAATCTCGGTTTCACAGCTTAGTTGATCATTAATGGCGGTATTTCACATTTCTTTACACCACTCCTCCGTACTGAGTTGATTATTATTCTTCCGATTCCTTACCAATATCTACAGTATCTTGCTGGTTTCCATAAGAACAATTAATTCCCATTTAGTTATTATTCTTCCGATTCCTTACCAATATCAATCTTGCCGGTTTCCATAAGAACAATTAATTCCGATTTAGTTGATTATTATTAACTATATTCAACAAAGCTATAATCAGAAACATTTGTACATCACTATCCATAATTTCCATAATCTCTTTAAAAGTCATTGATCATTCCTTCTTCCTTATTTTACAAGTCCACCACATATGTAAATATGTCCCGTCCTCTTCTTTTACATATCTAACGTAAAGATTCTGCAGTTTTGTTCAATAAACCTAGAGTGTTTCCTCAGTCTACATGCCAGTTCCATCTTACCTTAAGAGCCTCAGCTTTCCTGGCACTAAGACGCTGCTGTCTCTTGATTTCTTCTATCATCTGCCGATCTTCTTTATTCAGGTCAGGCACAGAGCCTAGAGGAAGAGTGGCCAGCTTCATTTTCACCCAGGCTATTAGGAAGTAGAGACAGACAATTCTATCAGTCTCTCTCATTTCTGCCAACAATTAATTCCTTCCTTCCTGTTTCTGTATCTGTTAAAAACTTTCTAAAACAGTCTGCACAAAGTTCTGCAGGCCACATTGTGTATAATTTTCCTCATATAGGTATCTTTTTCTACATTTTTATCTAACATTCTGGCAAGAAGTTTTTATTTATATACTGTAGCATGGTTTTATGCAGTTTTCACAAATGTATGCATTTTGCTGGCTTGAACAGCTACACCACACAATTCCGGCATACGCTGGCAGATAACAATTGCCTGCACACTGATTGTGGAAGCATTGTTTCAGTAATTTTTTATTAAAAAGCTGGTGAATGATTCTCACCACCACCCCAATCTCTGTAAGTGAGAGACCTGGATACTGAAAACATGTATTGGGGGAAGAATTCAAGAACCAGACAACACAACCAAAATTAAATGTGGTGTGCATCAGAGGAGTGATACTGCTATATTTCATGTTCAGCTGGAATTACTTCAGTCCAGATTGGTCAGGTCAGATTGCTTGTTTTTATAATATGAAATTGATTTTATTTCCTGAGTAGATTCAAATACAGAATAACTTTAAATGTCACTTAGCTTTCCCGGTGTATTAAAGTTCCATTAACTTTCCCATATAGCAACTATACCTGTATTTTATTAAATTTTTCATAAATAATTTCTTTCCTTTTTTCCCCGTCCTTCCTCCAGAACCTGAGAACTTGGGAACATTTTCTATATGCACAATTAATTGGAGAGCTTCATAGAATAACTGAGTTGAAAGGGGCTTGTAGGTTCATCCAGTCCAACCCCCTGCTCAAGGCAAGAATACAAATCAAAGCATATCTGACAGATGACTGCCCAATTTTCTCTTGAATACTTCCAGATTCAACTAGACTGCCTGTCATGTGACAGACCAAGCCCATGACAAAATCCAACCAATGGAAATTTGGCACAGACTGCCAGCTACATGGCCATGTGTGGTTTGGCTGATGCAACAACTAGGATAGTAGCCTGAACAATAGTCAGAATAATTTGCTGTTGACTCAGATGGGTTCTTACTTCACGTAAGTCATGACTAGATGGACATCTGGATGTACAGCCAGTATAATGTGCACTTGGGAGTCACTGGATAAGCCCCTTTTTTACAAGGTTTTTCCATAACTTTATAACTCTTCAATGCCAACGCTTAAGGACCTCATTCTGTAAGTGCATATTATTTCTTTTTACATGCTTTCTAGAGATCACTCCTGTAGCATTTTCTCAGACGTCCTCCACTTGCCTGACTCCTGTTGCCCAGGTCTCACCTAACTCTTTCTTTCCCATATCTACCAGTGCCAGCAGCATGAATGGAGGGTCTCATTCTAAGTCTCAACTCGGGACTGCCTTTGAGGACAACCAGCAAACGTAATCTGTCGGGAGCCTGAGGGTGCAATTACACAGTGAGGGAAATGCAAATTCATTTGCTATGATGTTGCACCAGGAGATTTGGGGTCCCCCCCCCGAGTCTGCTCAAATTAACTGGTCACAGAGGGAGGGAGGAGAGAGGCCCTGTTTGCAGCTCGTCAACATAGCTCTCTTGTGGCCCACTAGGAGGCTCAGCTACAGAAGAGCTACTTAATAAGCTGTAAACAAAGGCAAAGTGCCAATTCCTCTTCTCCCTTTCCCTTGTTTCACCTTGTTTTGTTTGCTGCTGTCTAGGTACCTTGGGGAATAATGCTGGCGCAGACAAACAGACAGACAGACAGACAGAGACAGAGACAGAGACAGAGACAGAGACAGAGACAGAGACAGAGAGACAGAGAGATATTTCTTACCAAGATTTCTTACAATTTCTTACCATGGTGATTGCAGCCTGAATCCACAATCTGGATGCAGGTCCCCTAAACTCTCGTAAACTCAGCCAAGCCTGAGACACAGCGTTCCCAGTTCAAACGAGGAAGCTGCGTCCCAGGCTTGGCTTTTTCCCTTTACTTCAGTCTGAAGGAAGATTCTTTGCTCTTAAACTAAAAACCTAGCAATTACATTTCATGGAGTTGCCTACCATGTGCCCTTTTTTCTTCTTCCTCTGCTCTTTGTAGTATCTGAGTCGCATGCATCACAGGACGCTCATCCTCCAGAAGGGTTTTGACACGGACAGCCAAAGAATCTAAACTGCTGCTGTGATCACTCTGGTGGACGCCAACATCCCCTCTGCTGAAAGCCGAGCTACCTCCAGAGGAACTCGGCTTCTGACCACTCATAGGACCACAGTGCTCCTGCTCACCCACCCAAAGCACTGACTGTGTCATGGGACGTTCAGATTGCAGAAGAGTTCTCACTTTGATTCCTAGCGAGTCCACACTGCTGCTATTTCCACTTTCATGACTACTACCCATCTCTTTCTTGCCAGCTTCCTTGGTTTTCTCCAAAACGTGCTGAACGCTTCCCACAGGATGAGAGACGTTATTCAAAGGCTTTATGCTAGAAGTAGCCTGGAATTCTTTGAGATCTTCAGAAGTGCATAAACTGTTGTCTGCTCCACTATTTACAAGAACAGGCAGGTTTTTATTGACTGTGGCACTGTTACACCCTTCTGGTTCCGATCGCCTTACAGGGTCCACTACCTCGTGCCATTCACCCGCAGCCACAGGAAGCAGTTCTCCCCATTTTAAATTGCCAGATAAGCTAAGGGTTTTGCTGAGCCCCTTGTCTCCTTGAAAATCTTGCTTGGCCAGGGATTCATCCCATGACCGTATTCTCTGAATCCCTGGGGTGTTCCCTTTGAGGAAGTGAGAATCTTGACAGCCACCCAGTTTTCCCCTTTGTTTTGAGGAGCTGTCCAGGTCGATGGAGGAGGAGATACAAGAGGTAGATTTAAAGTTCTTGACTGGAGTTCTACTTTCTGCCTCTCCTAGAAGTTTCCCAATCTCCTTCAGTGTTTTTGATCCTATGAAGGAATCATCTTTTTCTCTTTCAGTAATCGTACTCAAAGAACTAGCTTTTCCACTCAGATCCTTTCCATGTTTTTCTTCGGGTGGAGAGCTAAAAGACCGTTTCTCTTGACTTGATCCAACTTCATCGGAATGCACCGGGTCCATCTGCGTCTGCCCCCATTTTGTTGACTTCTCATCAGAACGGAGGTCAGGAGGAACTGCTGTTAATACCTGACTGTGTTCTCGGGATGCGGGAGCAGCCAGAGTCTCGGAAGTGCCCTCTGCAGGATGTGGCACAGGAGCAGGCAGCTGCAACTGACGGCGAATGGGGCTGAACTCACTGACTCTGGAAGTGTGTGGGGAGGGCTCTGCTGGCAGAGGAATGCTGGGAACAGGATCCGAGCCCCCAGGAACAGTAGAAGAGTTTGAGCTTGACTGCATAGCATCTACTAGAGAGTGAGAGTCTCCTGGAAGAGTAAGAAAAATGGCTAGCATTTACATCATTATTTACTAATGGAAATAACTGTAGTCCACTATCATGAATTCAAAATCGCTTTATGCAGATATACACAATTAAGACATGGGAGCTTTCTATTCATATTCCAGGGGATACGACTACGAAGCTCGAACCCCAGAACCAGCCCGGCCCACTCACTGGGCTCCTTATAGCGTGCACGTCCGTTAGTGGCAACATCACGCCAATCATAGAAGTACCATAGTTTTGCTACATCTCCCTCCAGAGCTGACCACTCTGACTGGGCTCCTTATAGCGTGCACGTCCGTTGGCGGCAACATCGCGCCAATCACAGAAGCCATCTTGCTACATCTCCCCCCACAGCTGACCACTCCAGTGAGGAGGCAGAAAGATGAGTGTCCCCACTCAGCTGCTGAGTGGTCAGCTGAGGGAAGAGACAGGGCAGTGTCTGCGGGACTACTCCTGTGATGTCACTGACGACCGACACGCATGCTGTGAGGAGCCTGGTGAGCGGACCAGGTTGGCGTGAATAGGCTCCCATCACACCTGTGGTGCCGAGCTTCATATTTGTATCTCGGGGATATGAATACGAAGCTCCCATGTTTATATGTAATTATACTTGAAATCCAACAGTTACAATACTTTCAGGTAACTTCCACGGATAAATGTCTCCAATACACCCTGTCGGCAAGACTCCTAGCGGCATACTGCCCTGATTCAGTGTAAGTAAGTGCTGATCAAAATCAGTCAGTCAGACAGACAGTTGTATTTCTCCCAATAAGGGGATCCAAGGAGGCTCACAGTGTTAAAAAGACAATTTAAAACACAACAAATTACACATTCAAAACACTAAAACTGTCATAGCAATTAAAATACACTGAACGATTTAAAACATTTAAAACTTTTAAAAGCCCGATTGAAAAAACAGCATGGAGGGACTCAATTATGATTGTTAAACGCTTCCTTGAAAAGGTGGGTCTGCCCACTGGAACAACAACACCAGTTTGGAGATGAGTTTTAAAAAAAAACTTACTGAAAATTTTGATGGGTGGGGGCAGCATGGGTAACAGAGAAAGGCTGCCAGACCTGGGAAACCCAACAAACAGAGCCCTTCTGCTCTACCACCTTTGGTGACAAAAAGGTGACTTCCTAGCAATGAAAGTGAATGAATGGAAGGGAGAGAGACACACCCCAGTCTTCTATGAATCTATACTTGTTCACCACAGCGTGAGAAAGTCATAGCCCTGAACAGGCTTGTTAAACCACACCAGGGCAGAGGTGATACGGCCCTGTGCACTTTTTTTCTAGGAGGCCCTCTCCACGAAGCAGGGTGCAAGGGAAGCCCATCATGCTTCACCCCAACCACCGGTATTCAGAGCCATAATGCCTCCAACACCAGAACGCTGCATTTAGCTGCCAAGGCTCACAGCTCTTGACACACCACCTCTTACTCCAGAAATGAAAGCCCACACGCTCCCCACCGTACCTTCTGATAACTGCGAGCGCTGTGTAAACAGATCAGTCGATGCCTTCAGTGTTCTGAGCTCTGTTGGAGACAATTCTATTTCTCTGACTGGCCCTCGAGGCACAAACGGAGTCAGTATAGATGAAGGTGACTGATCAATGCCAAGGTTACGGAGGTACACCTGAGGCGAGAGAAATCAAGAAAATTAATCTGGACTAGCCATCAAGGCAGGCTGGCCCCACCGCAATGTGTGCTCGGAAATTTCACCAGCCGTTATTATCCCACAGGGGCGGCACAAAAAATTGATGGGAACAGAAGTAATTCTCCTGGTGAATCTCTGCAGAAAAGAGCACTGAAATTAATTAATTTGGGCAATTCCCAACATTCTGCATTTCCTGTTTCTAACAGATTTTACTAACCTCAAACATGTCTGGGGATTTATTTGATTGGAATATGCATATCCTGCCCTATATCACAAGATCTCTGGGAAGTGTATAGGGTTGTTTCCCTCATACCATGTGAATGTTTCCAGGGTAAACCCCCTTGCATTGGGTGGCTTGATCTTCCTGAGGGTTCTCTGTTCCACCTGGTGTTTGTCTGCTTGCTTGTCTTTTTTCTTCGTTCCACTTACTTTGTACTGCCACTCCCCATAGACTGAATTGTGTATGGCTGCCACACAGAAGAGTGATGGTTATGTATTCTGGCCTCACAGGGAATATTTGACTACAAATGGCTTGGTCCCCTTTAATAGATGCCACAAGTAATAGAGTGCATTGTTTTATTAGGACTTTTCATCATTATGTGTATGTATTAGTAAAGGGATGGCCTGCCTATAGACATGATTGGGGCGGGGGGGGGGATGGACCTCAAACAACAGTAGGGGAAATGGTGGCTCCTACATAATAGCAGGAGATGGGGAAATTTTAAAAAAAAACACCATTTCTCTTAACTCTGAAGAAGGTAGGGCTGTGTCTATGTGAAAAAGCTACAAACAAGACTTTATGGAGGGAAAGTGTGTGTTTTTTTTTAAAAAAAATAGTAACTTCTTTTAACTTCATGAAGAAGACTGTGGCATGTCAATGTGAAAAACTGACAAACCCAGCTTTTCATTGAGTCTACAACGGAGCTGATTTTTCTGGCAAGGAGTATCGCAGAACGCCTGCCTAGAAGTGAAGTGACTGGAAGGTCACATGGAACTCTTTAGCGCACTAGTCACATAACATTAAGTCCCTCATCGCTCAGTTGCTGCATCTCTTGTCAACCTTGTCTCCTCACACTTGCCATCTCTCTGTTGATTCACTTCTTCTATCATGCCAACAACCATTCTCCTTCCCATTAAGGCTGACTTTTCTACACATTCCCGGCACTGAACTGTACTCAGTACATGGCTGTGTGGCCTCAGTTTTACATGCAGAAGAATTTACCTATGGTGTCAGAGAAGGAGGTTTTTACCTGGAACAATTAGTAATGTGAAGAATGTGACACATGACTGATCTAGTAAGGAGGCAATAGGGAGGAATAGGAGAAGGCGTCTCCTCCTGAGGCTGATAAGAAAAAAAATTGGAATACAACTTAATGAAACTATTTTCTTTCAACAAAAATCAGTTAAAATAAGTTAGGAGTGCTCATTTTAGAGAGTCTTTTTTTATCCTACAAGCATGTAGTCTCTTCTGTAGTTGCCTGACAATGCTGAGAGTTTGGATAACAGTTCACCTTCTCTCTCTAAATTACCACAGCTGTTAAGGTTTCTACATCTCACAAGGCACAAAATATGTATTTTAGGCACCTTGGCATAGAGCAGCATGCAGCACCATCTGTAATCAATGACATACAAGGTTACCTCCACCAGGCTAATCTGCTTGTCAAAAGTGCAGCTTGCTTTATGAGGGAAGAAGACAACTTCTCAAGCCCTCATCTGCCATGGTACTGTTTGGCAACAGATACATCAAGCACGACTACCAAATTGTACTTCTGGTCTGATCCTGAGGAACAGATTATCATTTTAACTTGACACTTGGCTGTTCGATAAAAGAAGCCATGACACTTTATTAGAATACAGATGGTACCAGGTTCAATACCCAGTACCTACAGCTAAAAGTATCTGAAGTTGAGTCATAGCAATGGGACTTATTTCTTGTTAGGTTGAAACATTTCTCTACCATTCCAAGTAGCTTCTTCAGACTGAAGGAGCTACTTGGACGAGTAGCAAAACATTTCAACCTAGTAAGAAATAAGTCTAGTTCCCATGACTCAACTTCAAGATAACCTCACCTGGATGACTGAGAATCTTCACAGATATCTACAGCTAAAGGGTTTCTGGGGCAGCAACTATCAGAAAGACCTCTGGCATGAGATCCTTGATGGCTGAGTTAGTCAGACATACACACAATAACACAGTAGGTCCAACTCAGTATAACACAACTTTGTATGATCAAGAAAGTAAATATTATACAACTTCTTAAATGTTCTTTTGCAACTGGCACTTGGCATCCTGTCAACCAACCACAGCAAAACCAACCACTGCTCCTTGCTTGACAAAGAACATCCCAATAGAAATATGAACTTACTGGTATTCTCTCTTCTATGTTGATATGTCCATCATCTGGGGTTTGTGGTACATTGGACGAGTAGCAAAACATTTCAACCTAGTAAGAAATAAGTCTAGTTCCCATGACTCAACTTCAAGATAACCTCACCTGGATGACTGAGAATCTTCACAGATATCTACAGCTAAAGGGTTTCTGGGGCAGCAACTATCAGAAAGACCTCTGGCATGAGATCCTTGATGGCTGAGTTAGTCAGACATACACACAATAACACAGTAGGTCCAACTCAGTACTGTATAACACAACTTTGTATGATCAAGAAAGTAAATATTATACAACTTCTTAAATGTTCTTTTGCAACTGGCACTTGGCATCCTGTCAACCAACCACAGCAAAACCAACCACTGCTCCTTGCTTGACAAAGAACATCCTAGCCCACAGTGCCACCACGTCCCTTGCAGGTAGACTACCAATAGCAAAAATAGCCAGTTTTAAAAAGACAAAGAACATCTCAATAGAAATATGAACTTACTGGTATTCTCTCTTCTATGTTGATATGTCCATCATCTGGGGTTTGTGGTACATCCTCCAAACTGCTATGCAGTTTTCCAGAAAGAGGTGAAGATCTCCTTGATGACTGTCTTGAAGGAAGTCTCAAGTCTGTACAGCTACCTGTCCCAGAGCCAGTGACTTGATTCAAGCTATCTGGCGAAACATCTCTAAAACAGTCCATTTTAATCAAGCCTGGCAATTCTCTGCCATTCCTATGAGAACCATCAGACATTTCTTGGCTACTGCTAAGAGAATTAGCCTCTTCTCTGAGAAGTTCAGCAACCCTGTCACTGGTAATGAAATTATCTGGATTTGAACCTCTTCCTCTTCCAGCACTTTCCATGGTTTCCTCGTCACTGGACACAGCTGAAACTAGGACAGCTGTATGATGTTGGATAAGGGAATCTTCCGTGTTAGCATTATCTTGCTTAATTCCTGAAGCTCCCAAAACACAGTCTTTACCTGGTGCTGGTTGATGATCATAATCTGGATTGGTCCGGTTACCTACCTCCGTTTTCAAAACCTCTTTGCTGACTGTGATCACAGAGTTTTCAGAATGAGACCTGGTAAGTGGTAAAGTTTGTGATGGCTCTTTATGGTAAGAGTGCTGACTGGTCATAGAAACTGGTTGACAAAAGGATGCCACCAGCCCTGTTTTAAGATCAGCGTGGCTCTTCTGTCTTAAGTGGATGCTGTTTAAGGAGTCTGCAGTAGCACTGTAGGCTTTCTGCCTGGAAGACATGCCACCTGAAGCATGTAAAGCCAAAGCATCAGACATCCTCTCAGCTGACTGGCTCATGCTCCATGCCCCTACTTTCTCCATGAAATTGAGACAAGGCAGAGACTGGATCCTACCTTTAAGAGGATGTAGAACCCCAGGACTGCCACTGCCTCCAGTGTCTGCATCTTGGCTGCTTTGGAGCACAAGAGGCTCTTCAGCAGAAGGGACACAAGTGTCATCCCCAGAAGGCACACGAGGGTCTTCCACAGAAGGAACACATGTACTAGCCAACGAAGTCTTGAAAATCTCTTCGTGTACACAAGAGAGAGGGGACTGAAGAATGGATTTGGCTGGGGCGGCCACACCAGGAGCTTCTTCTTTCACACTTCTGGCTGCAAAAAACCCTGGTGTAGAGTGATGAATCGGATGGGCCAGGTGTCCAAAGAATGACCCTTCATGAAAGGAAGGAGAAACTCCAATGTCCTTATGCTCTCTCTCTATACTGTAGTCAGAGAGTGTCAATTCTTTTTTTGTCACTCCTGCCTTGGCTTCTTCCAGCAGAGTGTTTACCTGCTTGCTGCATGTATTGCCCGCCTCAGGAGTCACAGTGGCTGACTGGAGAGGTACAACAGCATCAAGTCTACAGTCAACCAGTGCTTTAACGAGGTTCCTTTTTTGTTCCTCAAACTGAGCATCAGAAACCTGCTGTTTGCCGATGACGGCTTTCCCAGATGTCCCGGCAATACTGCAAGAGTCACCCAAATCCATCCTATACCCCCTGGAGGACATCCATGCCTGCAAAGTATTTGCAGACAATTGCTCCATGTCCTTGCTATTTCTAAATGGATTTCCCTCTGCATCAGAAAGTAGTCTGAACGAAGCAGGGTCAGGAATGGTGTTTTCTTGTTGATGTGGCTCCACAAAGGTCTCTGGCTCCCTCTCTACCAAAACTATACTCTCCATTGGCTGACTTGTCTCATTTCCTTCTGGGGCCTTTCCCGAAACGCTTTTAGAAGAAGAGCTCGCAGAAGATGAGAAGCCACCATCCTTGGCGAGCCCCATCTCCTTCTCAAGCATTTCAAGCAGGAGAGGTGTCGGCACCTTGCTGTCCAAAAGGAAGAAGTCCTGGCCTGGGACCGTTCCCCAAGAACCCTCTGGAGGACAAGCTGCAGGCAAGTGGTTCTGGCCTGGAAGCATCTGGAAACCTAAGACTCCAGAATTCCCATCCTTAGCCCTTTGCTCTTCGCCGTGTTGCCTCTGTTCCACAGCGATGTGCCCAGAAAAAGAAAGGGGATGCTGGGAAAGGCAACTACTAAGGCTAGCGTTGCTAGGTGCCATCGTGCTGAAAGCCAAGGGGTGCTGAGAGAGAAAATTGCAGTCTCCAGACAAATCTGAACTGACTTCTGTGGCCGCCAGCCGTACCGCTTCACTCATATGCAAATGCCTTGGAGTATTTTCAGAAGCATCAAGGGTTCCTCTGAAACAAAAGAGAAGATAAAATTGAAGCCCTTCATTCGAGCCTCGCTGAGGCCAGAGAAAAGAGGGAATTAATTTTCCTTTCATTTGCCCACTTTCGTAGAGATAGTGACTGTACAGAGGCATGGATTCTATCAGGGTGAGCTTTCAGTCTTTTGAGGTGGTCTCAAGGAGGCTTTTTGTAATTTAGACAAAATGAGAGATCGAAGTTTCATGGGAGCAGCTGTGTAAGTCTGTTGCTGCAAAAAGAACAACACGCCTAAAGACACTTTAAAGGCTGGCAAGTGTAATTTCACACAAGTTTATGTAGACTGTAGCCCACAAGAACTCACGCCTAAAGACACTTTAAAGGCTGGCAAATGTAATTTCACACGAGTTTATGTATACTGTAGCCCAAAAGAACTTACACTAAACCACGTGCAAACCAGTGGTTCTTAACCTTTGTTACTCGGATGCTTTTGAACTGCAACTCCCAGAAACCCGTCAGGACAGCTGGTGGTGAAGGCTTCTGGGAGTTGCAGTCCAAAACTCCTGAGTAACCCAAGGTTAAGAACCAGTGCACTAAACCACGTGTGTTAGTATTTAAGATGTGAATAGACTCTTAGTTGATTTTACTAGACATTGAAGATACTTCATGAATTTTACGCAGTAAAGTTGTTGTTTTTAAGGTGAGGAAATAAGTCAAGAATGGCGCCTCCATGAGCTGGAATATGCCTATATAAAAACCCAACTCCCTCTGTTCAAAAGTGACCTGTCATTTCCATTTCAGGCTGAAACAGTAGGTACCAACGGCACCAGGCACCTTGGAGGAAATGAAAAACATTCCCTCAAACCTGCTTATCTACCACAGTACACAGCATAAACTGAGGACCTGATGCTGCTCCCCAGACCTCACTGGACAACAGTTTTAGCGCCACTAGTGGTGCCAACGGCACCAGGCACCTTGGAGGAAATGAAAACCATTCCCTCAAACCTGCTGCAGTTATCCACCACAGTCCACAGCATAAACTGAGGACCTGATGCTACTCCCCAGACCTCATTGGACAGCAGTTTTAGCGCCACTAGCATACTACATAACACAAAGGGCACTCAAGGGCAGAGAACTGTGTTTCTTCCTATCCTGTGCGAGTCCAGTGATCCTCAAGTTTTATCTTTTAATATATGAAAATGCCAGTTACTTCCAGCACTTCCTGCTTATCTCAACCAAAGCAACCTCTCAAGCAAGGATGCCAATCCTTAAAAAGCAGAGTGTGCTGCTTATATACAGTGGGGTCTCTACTTAAGAACTTAATCCATTTTGGAATGGTGTTCTTAAGTTGAAACGTTCTTAAAGGACCTGATGCTGCTCCCCAGACCTCACTGGACAACAGTTTTAGCGCCACTAGTATACTACATAACACAAAGGGCACTCAAGGGCAGAAAACTGTGTTTCTTCCTATCCTGTGCGAGTCCAGTGATCCTCAAGTCCACTTCCTGCTTATCTCAACCAAAGCAACCTCTCAAGCAAGGATGCCAATCCTTAAAAAGCAGAGTGTGCTGCTTATATACCATGCCTTAGTAGTTAAAGCCCTCTCTGGGCAGTTTACAATTCAATTATGCAGGCTACACATTGCCCCCACCACCACCAAGCGAGCTGGGTAGTCAATTGACCGACTTCGGAAGGATAGAAGGCTTAGTCAAACATGAGCCGCCTGTCAGGCTTAAACTCAGGTTGTGAGCAAAGTGTTGGCCGCAGTACTGCAGTTCAACCACTGCACCAAGAGACTCCTCCCATATGAAATAAGACAAGCTAGATCCCAGGAATACTTCTCATTAGAGTGAGGGGCTTATACACACAATTTCTGTTCCATTGTTGTAACCTGGATTATGAACATGTCCTGAATCCCAACAGAACTGAGAAATGCTCTCTAGATTTTTTTAGGGCACAACATCCATTTTTGTATCTGGAGTGACAGAACCTGTTTAGTCTTTGTGTCAAAGTGATTCATTTGTGAACTGCTCCTTTTTTTTAAAAAAAGGCAATTTGAGGCATAACAGTCCAGCATCACAAAGAACTTAGTCTTTGTGTCAAAGTGATTCATTTGTAAACTGCTCCTTTTTTTTTTTTAAAGAACTGGCAATTTGAGGCATCACAGTCCAGCATCACAAAGAACCAAGTTTCCTTTTATGTTGCTTTTCTTATCTCTCTTTTTCACCCCTTTTTTTGTGTTTTATTGACTTGCAGCTTTCATTATCTGGTGACAATTATCTTAATCCTAGCCTACGCTATCTACCCTTAAATCCTCTTTCAATCTCATTGAGTTTCCTTGCCAGTACCTTGTGTCTCAGGCTAAATGCTCTTTGAACGGTGTTTTCCCCATGAAACATTATCATTTCCTTAAAAACATCTTTTGTAGTGATTCCTACTCCCCTTTCCCCCCAAAGTCTTATCCTGACATGGAAAGCAAAGAGAAGCCTTCTATGGCAAATCCTCAGAGAAAAACAACTTGCCTCATGGCTAAAGTAACATGCAAACATTAATTCAAATTAATTAAGAGAGAAGCCTTCTATGGCAAATCCTCAGAGGAAAAACAACTTGCCCCATGGCTAAAGTAACATGCAAACCAGTCCTTCAAATTAATTAAGGCAGGGAGGTAACAGTGAAGAGACGGTGGGAGACAAGACCACACATTCAGATAAAAGGTTAGTTTTTTGTTCTGCAGCAACATATAAGGGGTTCATAAATTCACCTAACCTTTCACTAGCACTCAGTGCTTATCCCATGCCTGGTAAGCCATAATTAGCTCCTGCAAAATCCCTGCTCCTAGAATACAACTACAGTCGTGCCAATCCCTGCTCCTAGAATACAACTACAGTCATGCCCCCCTTAACGATTGCCTCGCTTAATGAGGAAATCACTTTACGATGAGTTTTTTGCAATAGCAATTGCGTTCGCAAAACAATGGTCTAAATGGGGGAATTTCGCTTAGCAATGATCGGTTCCCTGCTTCGGGAACCGATTTTTGTTTTACTACGATCAAAAACAGCTGATTGTCGGGTTTCAAAATTGCCGCTGGCTGAAAAAAATGCCCCCCTGCTGTGCTTAGGGACAGATTCCTTGCTGCACAGGCATGGAAAATGGCCACCCCTATGGAGGATCTTCGCTGGACGGTGAGTTTTCAGCCCATTGGAACGCATTAACCGGGTTTTAATGCATTTCAATGGGCTTTTTAATTTTGTTTGACGATGTTTTTGCTCTACAGCAATTCTGATGGAACAAATTAACATCGTCAAGCGAGGCACCACTGTAGTCCTGTTTCAGAGAAAAAATCAGAGGCACCAAAGTGTGATAAGTGCCCATCACTAGTCTTGGGTCTCATTCAGCACAGCTCATCTTGTATCCTTATGCTCATTGTAAAACAGGGAGGTATAGGAAAGAAATTGTAGTTTAAAATATTTTAAATAGTTCAGCCCGCCTTTCTCCTAAGAAAGGACTCAAAGGGGCTTACGTTTTAAAAACACAATATTAGAGTGAATATTACAGTGAATTATTCAAATATTAAATGAATTAATAACTTTATACAGTCGTGCCCCACTTTACAATTACCCCGTTTAATGACGAATCCGCTTGACGGTGAGGTTTTTGCAATCGCAGAACAATGGTTTGAATGGGGCTTTCCACTTTGCAATGATCGGTTCCCTGCTTGGGGAACCGATTTTCGCTTTACGAGGATCAGAAACAGCTGATTGTCAGGTTTCAAAATGTCCACTGACTGAAGAAAATGGCCCCCCGCTGTGCTTAGGGACTGATTCCTCACTGCACAGGCATGGAAAATGGCCGCCCCTATAGAGGATCTTCGCTGGACGGTGAGTTTTCAGCCCATTGGAACGTATTAACCTGGTTTTAATGAGTTTCAATGGGCTTTTTTATTTCGTTTGACGATGTTTTCACTCTACAGCGATTTCGCAGGAACAAATTAACATCGTCAAGCGAGGCACCACTGTAGTCCTGTTCCAGAGAAAAAATCAGGAAAGGAAAAGAGTAAAAAACCATTTATTCCCCCTTTCTTGATTTACAGTACTCAGCCTCAGCACTGCGATGCCTTCTCAGGAGGCGGACGGGAGGGGGAGAAGCCATCTTTCTTTAAATGATAATATGCTGTCCTGAATTTTTGCAGACAGTACCCTGTTTCCCCGAAAATAAGACCTAACCTGAAAATAAGCCCTAGGAGGATTTTTCAGGATGCTCATAATATAAGCTCTACCCCAAAAATAAGCCCTAGTTAAGTGAAACCCCTCCCTCCAACCTTGTGCAGTAACCAGAGGAAGATAACATGACTGCATTTGAATAAATGTAGATGGTTGTACATGACAAAAATAAAAAATCCCCCGAAAATAAGCCCTACTGCTTTTTTTCAAGCAAAATTTAATATAAGACCCTCACTTATTTTGCGGGAAACAGGGTAGAAGCAAAATGGCCACCGGATGCCCGAAATGGCCGCATGCAGCGTTTTCGCACCCTCCCCGCGAAAATGGCTGCCGCTATGGAGGAAACTTCACTGAACAGTAAGTTTAGGGCCAATTGGAACACATTAAACGATGTTTAATGCATTCCAATGGGCTTTTACGTTCCGTTTAGCGACGATTTCACATAGCGAGGGTTAACCCGGAACGGATTAACCTCGCTATGCGGGGCACCACTGTAGTAAAAAACCATTTATTCCCCCTTTCTTGATTTACAGTACTCAGCCTGAGCACTGCCGATGGCTTCTCAGGAGGCGGACGGGAGGGGGAGAAGCCATCTTTCTTTCAATGAAAATACGCTGTCCTGAATTTTTGCAGAAAGTACCCTGTTTCCCCGAAAATAAACCCTGAAATTAAACCTTAGGAAGATTTTTCAAGATGCTCATAATATAAGCTCTACCCCCAAAATAAGCCCCAGTTAAGTGAAACCCCTCCCTCCAACCTTGTGCAGTAACTAGAAGAAAATGACATTTTGAATAAATGTAGATGGTTGTACATGACAAAAATAAGAAATCCCCTGAAAATAAGCCCTACTGCTTTTTTTCAAGCAAAATTTAATATAAGACCCTCACTTATTTTGCGGGAAACAGGATAGAAGCAGCAGAGAGGTGTACCATCCCCATGTTGTTGTTTTTTAAAAGCAGCACAGTGGCATTTCCACTAGGGGAAAGCAGTGCCGGAAAAATAACTGGAGAGGAAGAAAGAAATCACTCTCTCCTCCCCAGAAAAAATCAACGGCAAGAGAAAAACAGGAGCAGTGCTGTCTGCAGTCATCCTCTCCAGCAAAAGCACAAAGAAGAAAGGCATTCTCCATCTTCAAAAGATGTGGCTCTTATAGAAGGAACAGGTTAACAAGGCACTTCTCATGTCTTTTGCCAACAGTCAACATCAGTACGGGCAGTACTCTGCACCTACTGCAGTATCAGAGGATGGAAAGAACCAGTAGCCACCACAAGTCATGACCAGGTCAGTAGGCCAGCCCAAAATCTGTCAGGAGCCAGACAGAGGCTACATGAAACCAAACAGGGGATTCAATGCTTTGAACCAAGCAGCCGACAAGAAAGAAAGGAAGTACTGTCGTAGGTTGATCTCACCTCAGGGGAGCAAAATCCACTTCCGTCTGTGGAAAGACCGTCTCACTGAAGAACGTTTGACCTTGCGTTGAGTATGTCGTCATCAGTGGGAGGTTGGGAGAGAGGCAACTGTCCTGAATTTCTGTCAAGATTACAAATAGCATGGTGATGAGGCAGGATGGAAAAGTCACAGTTTGCTAATCAAAGCCTTACTAAGGCAACTGCCCTGCCAACTGGCATAGACTTTCAAAAGCTGTGGAACACAACAGCTGAAAGATGCTAAAAGTGAATCAAACTGAAATACACAGATTGTAAAAATCATACACAGGCATCCCACTAAAGACCACGCAATCATTAACATCAATTTAAAAAAAGAATTTCCTACTACAGGCTTTGGGGAAATGAGCTAGGTTTCTTCTGTTAGAAAACAGCATCAAGCGTTTGTGGGCAACATTTACACGCAAACAGCTGAATGCTCCATACACCTTTCCTCTAACTAAAATAAATAAATGAACTAACTGAATAAATAACTTCTATGAAGACTATGGACCATTCTGAAAATTTCCTTTTACTCTTCCAAGGAAGGCAACAAAGCACTTAATTTTGTGCTGCTACTAACTAGAACCAAAGAACAATAATTTAAATAATAAGAAACAATGTCCTAACTCCCAATGCCAAATAATTAGTCTTTCCAAGTGACAAGATTTAATGCATAATGGCAGGTCCAATAAGATGCAAATTGAAAATCGAAGGTCTTCTTCTTCACATGAAATCTCTAATGAATGCATTTCTTAACTGCATTTTAAAAACATACAAGTTTGACTTTCCAAAAAGGTGGTGCAAAAACCAGCTCTGAAACATTTATCTACAACTGGCCCACATTGGCTCACAGAATAACTCTTTGAGGTTGCCAACCACTGTCTCTAACGCCACAACAAAAGCCAGCATTTATAACTGCCTCAAACTAACCATGGAATCAAATCTGCAAACAATTCAAGGATTAAAAAAAAGAGGCCTCTATACCTGCTCTACATTTTTATATTAGGAGACAGCCAAAAGGCAGAAAGAACTCGGTTTTCAGTTTCTAATCCTGGGAGAGAGAAAATATGAGACCAGGAGCAGCTTCTTTCACAGCTATTGACACACATTTGGCTTGCTTTCTTCTTTTGCCTCTCATAATGCTCAGCAGGAGAAGTAAAGCCGGAAAGAATTAGTAATGCTCATGGCATCTGATGGAAGGATCTCCCAGCTACCCTCTGGTGAGGCAGGTGAGAGAGACATTTCTATTCCAAACTAAAAAAAGGAGGAAAAACCTAACTCCGACACCTAGAAGGTTTATTTATACTGACGGTTTAAGAATTATCCATCATCAAGAAAGTAAATTCTTTCTTGATGATGGATAATTACAAGTGTAAAGAAGAACTCAGAAAGCTTTCATGTTTCTGAACAAACCACCATTTCCAAGCATGCTTCCCGCTGGGAAAGAAGCAAGCCCAGAGCAGCGACTCACACAGAGATGGAAGAAACAGTCTCATGGGAGGACTGTTGTATTTCTGAATTAGGAGCAAATCAATAATCCAATTGTACCTAGGGTGAATCAAGCAGAATTAACTTTCTAGGCAGCAAAGGCAATTAAGAGGAAGCAAGAATTAACTTTGGGGCATGCCCTTTAAGATCAAGATCACCATCATCTGTCCAATCAATTCTGGCTTAGAAGCAGTTTACCATTCTTTTCTCCTGGGAGTGCCCTGGGACTGTGCAGCTTGTCCAAGGCCACACAGGCTGGCTCTACTCGCAGGAGACATAGTGGAGAATCGAACCCCCAACCTCTAGCTCCACAGCCAGAGACCTAAACCAGTGAGGTGCCTTTAACTGATTCATTAAAACACAACAGCATGTGCTATCTGCTCTTCAGGAACTGCTGTCCTGTATAACTGGCCAGAGGCCAAATATACTGTATATCTCTTCTAAACTGACCACTGACAGTAAGCCAAACACCATTTCACTGTCTGTATGTTTAAAATATACACATTTTGTCATTCCTCGAGATACCCAGCAAAGTTTCAATGGTTACACTACCTCACTCAAGACAAATTAGAAGAATTCCGTATTATTTCACTATCAGAGCTTTGACAGAGACAGAAAAGTGACTCCTTTGCTATGATCAGTTTCTATAATGAAACTTGCACCATCTAACAAATTTGGAGTCAATCACAGAGAAGATGAGCTCACTGGCAAAATGAAACAAAGAGAGCCAACACTCATTTGAGATCTCTGACTTACAGTTTGGATATAGCAGTTTGTACATTTTACAAATGCATTTCTCCATATGTCAAGGATACTGTACTTTGCTATAAATCTGGTAGAACTGTGAAAGACGAGATGAAATTGCTGGGTATTTTGCCTTTAAAGGACAGAATTCAATTTTCTCAGATTTTCAGCTTTCATCTTAAATAAGAGTTTGTCTGTAAGCAAGGAAAACCTGGAAGCGCAAATGCTTGGAAGTCACATGGAACAATCCAGTAGCTTCAGAAGTCCATATGAGATGGAAGAGTAGAAGACTTTCTGGGTAGGGTAGTCATGTTCCACCTCACATCTTTAGCCAAAGCTTGCAACAAGTGTAAAGAAAAACTTGGAAAGCTATAACCACAGAAACATAATTATGCAGACTTGATTAATTTTTATAATACTGTATGCTCTTTATAAATGTGGGATTCTGTGACTTTTTGTTGTTGTTATTTTCAATCCAAAGTAGATGGACTGCGACTGAATAACCAGAAATAGCAATAACATTAAGTATGCTTCTGTTTCCAAGGCTTGGAGCAGGAAAATATAACCATCCATTGTGTTGGTAGTTTCCCAGCAACCAGGTTGTAAGTAACCGAAAGCATCAGAAACAAAAGGTCCTTTTTCTGCCTTTCCTGTTCTTCTTTCTCTCTTGTGTTCCACATCACTTAAGAGAACAAAATGTACCCTCTGCTACTCCCCATACAGAGTTTTCTGAAAGACAAAATTCCCAATATCTCATATCCCCAGAAAATGTCCAGTGTTGTCTGTGATATCTAAATTATATCTTTAAAAGTAAGAGGTAAAGAGGCTATTACCCTCATGTATGTTTTACTCTGTTGTTTAATATTTAAAAATCTCTATGACAGCTTAAAACTTCATAGTTTGTGACAGAGTCTTTTCAGGAAATGAGTGGCCAGGCAAAAGAACTTGATACTAGGTGGGATAGCTCAGTGAGGAATGCAACACAGTATGCTGTGAAAAGGACAAATTCTGTGCTATGAATGATTAAGATAGGGATAAAAATAAAAATACAGGATTGTACTGCCCTTATGTGATGCACCCATATTTGGAATATTGTGCACATCGAGATCAAGCTACTACAACATCTGAAGAGAGCCCAGAACACAGTAAGATGCAGCAAAGGGCAACCAAATCATTAGGCAAACAGAGAAAACCTTTCTCATAAGGAATATTACAGTCTTTGATGGTTTTCATTTTTTTTAAAAGGTGACATATGAAAGATGTACAAAATTATGCATAGTGTACTGAAATAAATTTGTTTTTTTTTCACTCCCTGAAAAACAGCAAAACCCAGGGTCAGCCAATGAATTTTTTAGCAAGAGATTCAGAAAAGAAGTCTTCAAGCCAATAATTACAGATGACACAGAATCATAATTACAGGATTAAATAATAATTCAATCACCTTGCTGCTCCTACTACAATCTAGATCATTTCCTATGCAAAAATACAAGGGCTGCCTAGTGTTATGAACGCATGTGTGAAAGAGGGAGAAATAAAGAGATATGAAAGGGGTCACTGGTAACCATCAGGCACAAGATCATATAGATTTATTTATTTCAGAATATACAATTTTCCTCAATTCAAGTTCACAGAAAATTTTGTCCTTCTGCCAACAAATACTTTTATATTCAGACAGGTTTTTGGCATGGACACTTGTCTACTGTTACAGGAGTAGAACCCATAGAATGCCAGCTATCTCTTTAATGTTGTGTTTTAAAAAGACAACATGTAATAAATAAAAATCCAGGTTCTGTTTTTAATTTTGTGTTGTTTTTATCACAGATGATCACAAGCAAACCCTTCTTAGAGAACTGCAGATAAAATTCTTCTTCCAGGCAAGAATGCTTACTATCAAGGTAAAATTTCATAATAATCATCCAGGAAAAGAAAAAACGTAAAAGGCACCCTCAGGCCAATACTGCCCTTTAGTGATAGTTCCTAAAGAGTTACATTAGGTCCTCCAGCAGCAGACAGTGGAAGACCCAGCACCACCAAATGAATCATTCATTCATTCATTCATTCATTCATTCAATCAATAGTTGTCAAGTTTGGCCACAACCTACACTTTCCCATATTTCAGACTTTATAGACCTAAATGGGATTAATCGGTTTTCAATACACTGTAGGTCAATGGAGACTTGACTACAGACTTTTTGACTTGAGAACTGCCTTCCAATATGGATTAAGTTCTCAAGTCAAGACCCCACTGTAGACCTAAAAAAAAGAGAGGTCATTTTCCCTGTCAGCTTTCCTGATATTAAGGCAAGGCCTTAAACACTGTAACTGGGCAGATGTATTACTTCTAATGTTTAACCAAGCCACGCAAGAAACGTTTACAAAAACACCATGCAGTAAATCAATTAACAACTATAAAAGCATTGCTCAATTATTCATTATATCTACGTAATTTATAGAGATTAACACCAACACAGTCTTGCTTTCTTCTGGGAAAGAACATTATCATCCCAAATCTTGCTGCTTATACAGTGGTGCCTCGCTTAGCCATTGTTCCGTTGAGCACTGAAATCGCTTAGCAATGGGGTTTTGGCCATTGCCAGAGCAATCGCTTAGCAATGGCCCCTATGGGGAAAAATTGCTTTGCGATGATCGCGGGGAAGCGATCATGGCAAAGCGACCCTTTTTGAACAGCTGATTGGCGGTTCCAAAATGGCCGCCGGAAAAACAAAATGGCCACCCGCTGTTTTGCCTCGTTTTAGAGGCACCGAAAATGGCCGCCCCTATGGAGGACCTTCGCATAAGGCCAGGTTTTAAGCCCATAGGAACGCATTAAACACATTTTAATGTGTTTCTATGGGCTTTATAAAATCGCTTAGCGATTAAATCGCTTAGCAACATTTTTCCTGGAACGGATTAACTTCGCTAAGCGAGGCACCACTGTAGTTATTTACGGACACACAATATCTGCATTATTCCTGGGCAGATATTTTATCCCCTGGTGCTCAGAACAAGACATCATACCAGCCACAGCCTATCTGCATGTCTGGCACACAAAAAGAGGGTGATTTCTCCCCTTGTTGCTGAAGGTCACCTTCCTCCCTCCATCCCTTGAAAATGTACCGAGTAAGCAACCCGATCTTACAACATCTTACAGTTTGTTGCTGACAAATGTGAAAGCCTGAATGGAGCTGCTCTGCAGGCACTGAACATTTAAAAAAGGGAGCAAAACAAAGCAGAGAAACTCCTTCCGCCCATTCCATTGGCTGTCATGTTACCTTCTTGAAATCAATTTTCAAAAAGATCACAGGAGCAGAAGTGTTCACACAATGAAGACATTTAGGAATGAAAAAGGAGCAAAAGTGTGTCCCTAAACATTTCAGTATTCAATAAACATTTTAACATGGGCAATTTTAACTTGGATTCCACCAGACCTCTTGACAGCAACTTTGCTGAAAACACACACTATAAGTATTATCTAATGAACCTTTAACAGAAAATATTATCTGGGGAGTAAGTAGTTTGTTAAGTACAGGATTGTCCATACTCACATGACTGGCGAGGAACGAAACGATCCACAAACAGTTCCAATCACTCACCAGCAAAGGGTCTCCTTTTGGTTTGCTGTATGTATGTCCAAAATTATCATTATCTCAAGCAGACCAGACCTGGCATCTGCCCACTTCTTTTGGGCAAGCAACACTGTTCTTGAGCTCTTCCAACACTCCTTCCACGTGTCCAGAAGGCAATGGTTGTTCTCCAGCTGCTCCCCTCTGCTCACTTACAGAGACCTTCTTTCTGCCCCTGCAGTATCCACTGCAGCTTAACTACAACGTACAATACTGTGCCCATATACTTTTAAAAAAATAATTACTCAAAGCCATCATTTTAAAGGTTTGGAGAAGAAAATAAACTGTGTGCGAGAGAAGAAACCTTGATAAGACTCACACCAATTAAGATTTTAAGACCTAAGAACAATTTCACCATCGATCAGCTTCACAGGTGGCAGTGGATCAAGCTGCCATTACATTTCAGGGGGGAAAAACATGGTCTAGAGGGGCGGGGTATAAATTTAATAAATAAATAAATAAAAACATTAAGAGGAATGCTGTAGAAATGTGAAAGCTAATGTTTCACTCATGTAAATAGCCTTCCTTACAGGACAGTCATACTAGATATGAGACACCCTATGGTAAGCATGCTTAAGTGAATATGGGAGAAAATATACCCACCTTTTTATATTAAAGGACTCAAGATGGCAGACAACACAAAAAAGCACAAGCTCCAACTTAGGATTCATATCCCGCTCGCCCGAGCACATCTCTGTGTGACTCCCATGTGCACCCTTTCCCTTCACACCAATTTAGACTACCCAAACTAAAATGGAATGACTCCATATACATTGCCTGAAGTTACCAGGATGGAGGGCGAGCTATTAACATACTAAACTATTCATGCTCATGCAAGCAGTCGCTTTCCTGCACATATTTGTTTGCCATCATTGGTAAACTGCTAAAGCAGATAGATCAGGTTTGCTTCTTGAGTGCACAACTAACAATGACAGCTTCACAAGCACAGCTGTCAAATCAATGGAAGGCTTAACCACCCATTATCAAATTCCAATGCTGTGAGCAATATTCATTGAACCACCCAGGACCTCCACAGTCACAATTAGAAATTTAAACCTGCCAATAATGAAATGCTGAGGCTAAGCTCAGAGCAAAAAGCCACCACCAGAAGCTAGAATATGAAGCAGCAAGGAGAGATCAGCATGTAGGTGGTAGATCATTTTCAATGTCTTTTATTTCTAAAATGTGAAATAATTGAAATATGAAAAATGTACTGTACAATCCAAATATAACTTCCCTTAGTCACATTATAATCATTTCTCCATGTTACTTTCTTAACATATTCTGTTCCAGGCAGGTGCTGCAGCTATTTTAATACTGTCATTAGCCACTCCAATCTTTGCAAGGGTATGTACAATTAGAAAAAAACATCGTTTCAGATCCAAAGCAGCATGCATAGTCATACAGACATGCACACCCAACCTACAGAGAGAAAGAGAGATGCCTTTTCAGAACCTCTTCCTGGTAACCATCAGCATATTTAGCAATTCCCCAGAACGCCAGGGACTCTCCAGACCAGAATATTCTGAAGCATAAGGAGTCGCTGTTGGGGGGGAAGAAAAACTTCATGGCTTCCTAACATAAGCATCATCTAAATCAAAGGCAGGATAGATTTTGCACTAAGCCTACATGCCAGCTGGGCCCCAACAAAACTATCCCTGGAATCACATCAGAACCAACAGCCTGAGCTCCTTCACTGGTTCATCTTTCAATCTGATCAATGATACCACCTGTCAATAGTCTTCTTTTGTATTCTACACAGAACATGCAGGCCAGCCTCAGTTCTAAATAATAAATGGAGAGAAAGCTGCCATCAGAAAGGAGAACACCCATATACCAGTCAGGGAAACATTTCAACAGCACTGGATACTACTGTAGGTCTGGAAGTTACCATTTTCCAACATCTCCAGTTGATCCAATTTGCTCTACCAAAAGGTAAATATCTACTGAATCAATTGTTGAATGAGGAATTAATACTAGTGCAAATCCCAGTGGGTCTAATCTAGATGACACTAGCAACTGAATTAGGGCCAGAATTGTAGGGGGATAATGGAGTGTCAGAGAGATAAATGCTAAGGTTTGATTCCACTTCTTTGAATCTAACTGGAATCATGCTAAAATAATGTTATAACTAATTTATTACTTTAATGATTTTACACTCTTAAATGAACTGTCTTAGGGTATGATCATATAGCAAAAAAGATCACATTTTGGAGCACCTTTGGAGTGTCTGGTGCAATCTATTTCCTAGTGATCACATGATATATGGGGAACTGTGCTCCACCCTAATCCCAATCTCTGCCTAAACTAGACCCTTGCTGGTACAATCACACACACACACACACACCCCTACATCTGTCTGATCACATATTTAGATTGCTTTTTCATTTTTAGTGCCCATTTTTCTTATACATCCACACAGAGAATTGCAGTAAATTAACTTTTTTCAGTAAACTGGAATTCAGCTAAGTAGCTTTCTCTTGAAATATATTTTCATTTTTTCATCTCTCCTCTGTTTGAGCATTCACAGACTGAATCATCAGAACCAGTCCAAAGGTCTGTTTGGCCAAATCTAATATATCAAAATAGGCTGGTATTTAAGCTGCCCTACTACTACCATAATCCTACATTATCATTATTTGCTAATGATGTTGTTATGTGCCATCAAGCAGCCCATGACCAATGGCAACTCCGTGAATGAACAATCTTCAAACTATTCTGTCCTCAGGAGTCCTGCTTAGCTCTTGAAAACACAAGCCCCTAGGGATTCAATCCATCTTGTATTTAAGCTTCCTGTTTTCCTGCCACCTTCAACCTTTCCCAGTATTATTGTCTTTTGCAGAGAATCCTGTCTTCTTACGATGTAACTCAAAGTAGGACAACCTCAATTTCAATATTTTTGCCTCCAGGTTTCATCTGCTGTAGGATCCACTTGTCTTTCTGAAAGTCCAGGGTATCCACAAAGCTTTCCTCCAGCACCACTTTTCAAACAATGCTAACAATAGATAATTGAAAGATCTGTTGCTTGGAAGAAATTAGGCATTTAGGATTTTAGATTGATTTGGTGGACTAGGATAGGGCAGGAATGCTGCAGAAAGAGTATAGCTTCTTCATATATCGCTGTCTGGTATAAGAAGATTGCCATTTAACTATACTCTGATGACATTTATGACAATATTTCTAGGCTGTAATACAAGAAACAAAAACAGTTTGACCTCAAACCATAAGCTGCCCAGCCAAAAAGGAAAAATAAAAATAAGATGGTTGTTGTGGGTTTTTCGGGCTCTTTGGCCATGTTCTGAAGGTTGTTCTTCCTAACGTTTCACCAGTCTCTGTGGCCAGCATCTTCAGAGGTCACAGAGACTGGCAAAACGTTAGGAAGAACAAAGCAAAGCAAAGTGTGCTGCTTATATACCGCCCCACAGTGCTTTAAGCACTCTCTGGGCGGTTTACAAGTTAATTATGCAGGCTACACATTGCCCCCCCACCAGCGAGCTGGGTACTCATTTTAACAACCTCAGAAGGATAGAAGGCTGAGTCAACCTTGAGTCGGCTACCTGGGATTGAACCCCAGGTCGTGAGCACAGTTTTGGCTGCAGTACAGCAGTTTAATCACTGCGCCACGAGGCTCATTTCTAGCCCGCTCAGAACACGGCCAAAGAGCCCGAAAAACCCACAACACCAGACACCAGGAAGCAGAAACAAACTATGGTCACTAAAATCCCACCGGCCTGAGTAAAAAGCCAGTTGAAAAGTCTTGATATTAAAATATTTAAAAGTCAATGTATTTTTTTAACGAGTACAGAGAACATACCAAGCATGGGAGTATGAGTCATATTAGGTGCCTGCTGCCTTCTAGAGTTCTCTGTGGGTGTAACCAATCCTTCCTCCATCATTGGAAATTCAGTCATATCGCAAGCTTCAGTCTGGCTGAGCCTCCCTCCTTTGGCTCCAGTCAGATTGCTGTCATCCACTTCTGTACAAGGTCGGTACCATGCTTCCACCCCCTGAAAAACAAATACAAAAGATTGGCCACAGAAAGCTATGTACAACAGTGGCTCAGGAGATGTTTTACTGAATCTGCTATTCTTTTGCACAATTTCACTTTTCTACAAAAGAGGGCATATACGGTACATTTCACATCCCTGAAACAGAGATGCCAACTACCTTTCTTCCTTGGCCAAACTGCCTTTCCCAATTAGCTGTTGTGGGAAGGGAGTTTTTTTATGATTTTCCTTTTTCATCATTGTTCTGGGTTGACTTAAAGAACCAGGTATGGTACAGTGGTTAAGAATTACCTTGGCTCAAATCCCCATTCTTCTAGCATAAAGGTCACTGTGCTGTCTCTTTGGTTAGGCATTATTTCTAAACTTTCTTTACAGGGTATCTGCAAGCAGGATCTGAAGACCTTAGGAATGGACCTCAACAGATGGGAAACCTTGACAACTGAGTGTTCAGCCTGGAGGCAGGCAGTGCATCATGGCCTCTCCCATTTTGAAGAAACCCTTGTCCAGCAGGCCAAGGCAATGAGGCAGCCCCAAAACTAGCAAAATCAGGGAGCTGGACAGGGGACAGATGGTATTTGTCTTCAGTGTGGAAGGGATTGTCCCTCTCGAATTGGCCTTCTCAGCCACACTAGACGCTGTTCCAAGTCATCTATTTGGAGCATGTTACCATAGTTTCTCGAGACTGAAGGATGCCTAAATCTTTATAGGTAGTTGTGAGAATCCAACATATTCTTGATAATACCTGAAGGACTGCCTACATACTTAACATCAAAAATACACAAACCTTTTCTCTAAAGGAATCAAAAACCAAGTGCCCCTATGCATTCATTCACACAGCATGCAAAACGACCTAGAGCAGTGCTTGCACTAATGGGGAGCATACAAATTATATTAGGTAAAAAATAAAATAAAATAATTGTGTCTTCCTTGAAAATGACGGCAGAAATTATGTAATGTCATAGAGTCTGCAGCCAGTTACATCTAGAATATGCTGCTTATTGGCATTTCAGTTGGACATCACAAATATTACTGACAGAATTACCAAGTTACCTGATTAATAACAGATCTACGTCTGATCAGTTCTCCCAAGGAGACACCACTGGCATTTGAAATCTGTGTTCCACTACTGCTTTGGCTTAATAGTTCTTCCTTCACCTCATGATATGGTGGTGTTGTTTCAATAGGCTGAAAGAAGAAAGGCTTTTTTTACTGCCTAGTAAATATATATGACTTATTTAAGATAGCAAAATGAGAATTGAATGTTTTCCCAAAACAAAAGAATCACACTAGACAATCACAATTTAAATTTAAAAAGCCAATTATTTACATTGTCAATAATCATAATTTAAATTAATTTAATTTAAATCAATCCCACCCTGCTGAATAGTCACAGGGGGCAATTAAAATATTCAGAATTATCCAACACTCAAGCAAGTAACACTGAATTATAATAACATGAAGTCAGAAACTGAAGGATAGCAAATATTTAAGAAAAAAGGAGAAAACTGTACTGATAGGCATTCTAAGAAAACAATGAGCAAGGTATCCCACATGCACTAACTTTTCTTCTTAAATACTGTATAAATAAAGCTTCCAAACACATGGTCCATGTCAGAAACTTTTGCTTAAATTACCAATAATATTAGTTGTGAAGCTTTAGATGCCATTCTAATGGATATGTAATGAGAATGTCCAATGGTACATGAATTTTGGAAGAAAGAATTAGATACTATTTAACAGGCAACTGGATATAAGGTGAGGTCTGATCCATTTGCAATTCTATTATGCCACTTAAATGCATTTTAGTAAAACATTTATTGAACACTTATTGCAAGCAGCAAGAATCAAAACTGCTAAAAGCTGGCAATCTAACTAGCCCCTTGTATTGCAGGAATAGATGGAGGACTTTCAAGACAATGAAAAATTGATCAGCTTGACAATTTAGGAGAGGCAAAATTATCTGCTAATTTAAATGCACATACACTTTGGTTGTGCTCTAGAAGAGGTCCAATTCCTCTTTAGACAAAGAAATCTTCTCCATCTCATAACGTCATAATCAATGTTTATCCACTGATGTGATTAAAGCCTCAATAAATTGGTTTTCAAAATTTGTTAGCATCCTACATACCAACTGCAAATTCATCCTCTAGGAATAGATTTATTTATTTAAAATATTTTTACCCCACCTTTCTCCTTGAAAAGCATCCAAGAAGGCATACAACAATGAAGTTGAAAACAATGAGTATACAACAGTGGTTAACATCATTAAAAGACAATATTTAAAACTACAAACAATGAATCTCTCTGTATCCAAAAATAGCAATGCCCATATAGAAGAGAAGCTTGAAGAAACAACAATGTACACAGAACTATGAAAACAAATTTAGGAGAAGACCTTGACCACAACAGCAAAATAGCCTAATAACCAAGAATAGTGCTTGCACTCATGGGGCCGTATATAAATCAGATCAATAAATAACACAGTAACTGTATGTTTAGTGGATGGGGCAGAAAACTCAGAAGAGGAAAATGGAATGGAATATTTTGGAAAGGGGCATGGCTGGCCTCTGAATGGCAACATTTTATTCCAGGTCTGACTTGTTGCCTCCATACAGGGAATCCGAACTGAAGCAAAACCAGACCTGTTTCTACATACCAGTTATGCAGCAATACTGTATACACATTTCTATTAGAAATAAGAGGTTCTAAATGGAACAAGACCAATTCTTCGAAATGTTTGGTCTTTGTGAAACAAGCAGAAAGATCACTGACATAATGAGGAATAAAAGTGCCATTCCTTGTGACAGAAAGGATGCTGCTACAGCAGTTCTACCAAAGAATGCTGCCTTGGAACAAATAAACGCATGCCCTGAGGCATCCCGTTTCAAACGGAAATTATTTAGAGAAAGCAGAGCTCTTAACATTTTAAATGTCCATGAGCTGCTAGGAGGTGAAGGCCAAAGAGGGAGCTGTGCTGGTGTTGCTCACAAGAACAGCTTCTTCCATGGCTACAGACAGCATTTTCTACCTCTTTGCACCTAGGCAGCCACGTTCCATCGGTTCCCAAAACAGAAGCAAGCAAAGAGGACTGCAAAAAGCCCAACAACCACACTCTGGCAGGAAGAAATCGAAACAAGAGTTCTTCTAATGTTTGTTCAACACCAGCACCACCAAAAAGGAAAAGAACCCAAATGACCGACAGAAAGAGAAGAGACACAAAGTGTGGAGGAGAGCGTAAGAAACAGAAAAGATGGGGCGCCACAAGTGGGAAGCTGTATCTTCTTATAGTAACTACTGTAATTACATCATTTAATAATTCCTTCCAAAGTGATTGCTACAAACTGGCAATCATGTAGCGAGTAGGTTCTAGTGGATCCTATCAGATAGAGATGGGCACAAAGTTCAGTTCAGAGGTCTGTGCCAGTTCATCGGTGTAGCACTAACCCCCACCCCACCCTGGCCGGCTCCCCCACTCACTGGTGTCAGCACGCGCTGCTTTTCTCTGGCTGTCTGATGACCTTACAAGCCTCTTCCAACTTCATTATTCTATGATTCTCTGACTTCAAAGCAAAGCATGCTGCTTATCTATCGCCCCATATTGCTTAAAGCTCCCTCTATGCAGTTTACAATTTGATTATGCAAGTTACACACTACCACCCCCACCTCCATGAGCTGGGTATTCAATTTACTGACCTTGGAAAGGTGGAACACTGAGTGAACCCTGAGCTGTCTACCTGAGCCTGGAATTGAACTCAGGTCATGAGCAGAGTCTCCACTGCAGTACTGCAGTTTAACTACTGCACCACAAGCCTTTGTGGGTACTCCACTGAGTACCCACAGATGAATTTACTGAATTGACTCTGTTGACAGAATCAATGGGGCCAGGGAAGGAGAATTTTTTTAAAATTTAATTTAATTTATATGCCGCCCACTCTACCCAGAGGTCTCTGGGTGGCTTACAACAATTATAATTCAATACAATAAAAGATAAAATGATTAAAATACAATTAATATACAATTAAAATTGCCATCATCAGGACCCACAGTTGATGTTATTTCAATTAAAAGCCTTCTGGAACAGGAAGGTTTTGACCTGGCGCCGAAATGTCATCAACGTCGGCGCCAGACGAATTTCAGTCGGGCGGGCGTTCCATAGTCTGGGGGCAGCTGCCGAGAAGGCCCTTTCTCTACAAGCCCTCCCTCTTACCTCCTTGAGAGCTGGCTCTTTCAAAAGGGCCCCCTGGCTAGATCTTAACTGCCGGGTAGGCTCATATGGAAGGAGGCGGTCCTTCATAAGCATAATTTCCGAATTAAGCAACAGAAAGAGACAGAAGACAGCAGTCTCAGAACTTGTCTCAGCTATAACTCTCCCTGGAAAGGATAAATGGGGCTGGATCATATAAAGAACAGAGAGAGAATCCAAATATCCATAAGCCCATGGATGGACAGCAGCATGCACCAAGATAGGAGACTGCTCTCTCCACCCCTCACCCCAGACCCAATGACTGGTAAGAGACTCACATCCTGTCCGAACCTCAACTACCATAAAGCTGTCATAAAGACTGAGCCACCTACAATATTCCATTTGCCTCATCCTGACACCTTTCACAAATCATCACATCATTTCATATGATGATACAACCTGATAGAAAGTCTCCATGTTGAACCAAAAATGCACACAACGCATTGCTAGGACATACTGCAAAGTGTTCGCCCATTCAAGGAATTATCTTCCTCTTGTTTGGGAAGGAAGGGAAACACAATATAAAAAAGATCTTCCCCCTATCAGTGGGTCAGACATGCCTTCAAGATACAGTATTAGATTCATTCTTCATACTGCTAGACCTCACATTAACATTTAACTGCCAGTTTTCCATATATGGATATGCATTAAGCACAAACAATTTTGTTTTGGAGAAAACTGAAAAAATAGATGACAGTAAGAAAAACTAAACAGAACATCTCATATATCAAAAGATAGCTAATTAACGAGAAATTCAGAGTCTGCATGTTAGCAACTGGAGGAAGCTGACAGCAACAACATATTAATATGACTAGTTGCCAAAAAGCAAAGTTGTGCTGGTGGGGATATGGAAATGAATGAGCAACACAGAAGGAATACAAATGTCCAGGAAGTTATGCCATGTTGTGCAGATACTGAGTAGAAAAATATTTATCTCAGCAGCTTTCAGCAACTATTACTAATAGACTAGAACCTCAAATTAATGAACTTTCTCCAGGGACATGTGCGTAACTAATTTAAAAGGAATCAAATTTTATCAGATTTTGAAATACTAGGAGAAGGAAGACAATTAGTTTTCCTCATTAAAATATACACTTGAAACTAACCACAGCTCATGCTAGAAATGATCTACAGTATATAAAAGGCAGAAAAACCTGATTGAATTCTCAAGTACTGCTTTATCTATTTGTCAGGTTATTTTAAAAAGCAGCACTGAAGCTGGACAAATCACACAAGAACGCAGATCAAGGTTCACTGAAAACAGCAAAGTGAATACTTTCTAAGCTGCCAAGACAAAAATGAAAGGAATACTGTACTAAGCTCCCTTTATATCCCAGTCCCCCAAGAAAAGAAGACACAAAGCACAGTAAATATGTGAGAAATCATTAGTCCCCTCCCTGCCCCAAAAGTCTAAAGGGAATAAATTCTCAGCTTGCTGCTGTTGTTGTTTAGTCGTTTAGTCATGTCTGACTCTTCGTGACCCCGTGGACCAGAGCACACCAGACCCTCCTGTCTTCCACGGCATCTCGGAATTGGGCCAAATTCATGTTGGTCGCTTCGGTGACACTGCCCAACCATCTCGTCCTCTGTTGTCGTCTTCTCTTTCCTTCACACTTTCCTAACATCAGGGTCTTTTCCAGAGTCTGCTCTTCTCATGAGATGTGCATCTCAAAATATTACATACATTTTAAAGCCTCATTTTTTTAGAATAGTCCATGGCAGGAAAAAATGTAACATAACCCTGTAATAGAGAAACAGGCCCATCGGGGAAAATATATGTTGTTTTGTCTAATTCTTTCTTTCTCTTTTTCTTTTAAAAACCCCTCTGCCTATGTGTGCCCCGTGATAGTGAATGGAAGGACCAAAACTAATCGTAAGGGAGGAACTGAGCAAATGCTTTGGGCAAGTCCACTGATAGCTACATTCTATCATGGTCTTACAA